GATTCTAAATTACGAATTTCTTTCTCTTTGCAGTCACTCTCTTCCAGGGGTCATTCTTTATCATAGATTGTAACCATGTTTATTCAGTAGATAGAGTTAGGTGTAGGACATCAGAAGTCACACATGTAGAAGAAGCAGAAGATGAGCAGGAGGTAGTCTCTAAATAAGATGAAACAGGAAGTTTCTAGAACCATTTCTGATGACTTACTTTGACAGTTTTCAAGCCATGTCCCTCTGTCTGCTTGTCTTTTATCTGTAGCCCAATTCTGAACTTAATAATTTGGCATTTATTAAGTGTTTGCCATGAGGAGAGCATCGTGCTAGTCTCTCAGAATATAAAAATGCCAAAGTCAGTCTCTGTCTTAAGACTAATGGGAGACCAGATGCGGATTTCACAATATGCTAATACTTGGTGGGAGTTATAAAGGGCACTTGGAAGAGAGGATGTTAATTCTGCCTGGTCAGGGAACATTTACTTGGATCAGAGGTGCTGCTCTGGGTAGGGATTTGAAAGGTTCAAAAGATGGGTGGATATGCATGTTGATTATGGTACTAGATATGCAGGTGGAGAGAGTTGAGGAAGCCACATACAATACATGGCATAATGGTGGCTAGCCATGTTTTTCTACTTATATGAACATTCTTGAATGCTGGAAATTCTAAAATAAATTAACTTTAGATGGTGGCAACTTGCTCTTGGGTATATTCTTAGGTTCCATTGATGAGAGACCTATCAGTTTACACTGGTTCTGATGCAGTTGAACTAGTTTTAGGCTGAGGTGCATCTACAGGTCATTGTTGCAGGATTAGCACTAGACCCTGCAACCTGGACCAGGGTCTCATTCCTGCACAAATGTGGACAAGCCAGGGAGTGTTTTCTGGGCCTGCATCTGATTGGAATTATAAGTTTATGTTTATTACTGGCTTCTTTTCTAAGTGGCTGCCAGTGGAGTTGATAGCAGGCTGAACATGGCAGCCATGCGAGGAGTTAGAAACCCTGCCAGGGAACACCAGGCCCACTTCGTTTTATGTGGCTGCAGCTGTGACTATTACATGTGCGGATTTTTTTAAATGAGAGGATAGAGAACTTGAAAAAGTTATTTCTTTTCTAAAAAGGTAAGTATTGGATAATTTACTGCCCCCTTCTGCTTTCTCTCAGTTAGCTGGTGTATTTATTGAAGTAACAGAATTTAGACATTTTGGAGCCATTCCTAATGGTCTGGATTCCAGCTCACTTAGGCATAGATCTTGACTTTGACCTGCCCCTAGCCATTTCAAGTTACTCTGTGTCTGCATCTGCCTTTGTTTCAGCCATATAGTAACCTACCATACTTCATGACGGCAAATTGTTTACAAATTTATGGAAATTTTTAAAAATTTATTTTTGGAGCTGGGGATTGAACCCAGGTTCTTGTGCATGTAGAGCTAAGCATGTATTCAACCACTGAGCCACATCGTCAGCCCATGGCAAGATTTTTTAAGTACGATAGTCCAGCAGGTGTCTTATGAAGGGCAAATATCTACGTATATATAGTGATCACATTCATAATAATTTACTGAACATCCCATTTGATGTTATCCTACTTTTAATTCAAATATGCATGTTCTATTAAACATTTGTGGTGCATTGCGTTGTCATGTGCATATTTTGTTGCATTGTCTATTGCCTGTTTCTTTCTCTATGTGAATGTGGTAATAGTGCCAGCTGCAGGGTTATAGTGAGGATTTTAGCAAGTTTAAGTAAGTGAATGTAGTACCGTTTTAATTGATTAAGCACTTCTTATATTTTAGGCTTTGTTTTGAGTCTTTGCATGTGACACCTAGTTTAACCCTCCCCAAACCCAGTGAAGTAGGTAGTGGTGGTCTCCCCATCACAGGATGGAGGAAACGTAGGTGCTAACAAGATTGGTCAACTTGGTGAGGGTTAATGAGCTAATAGCAGCAGAATTTGATTCTAGCCAATGTACACCCAGACTTTTGTGGGCCTGTGCTTTTGCATGTCTAGCCTATAATGTATATTCATAGCACTGCTTCCTCTTATGGTCAGATAGCTTGCTGAGCTCAAGGCTTCAGGATAACCTGGTTAATATACTGAAGAGGGCATCTTTAAGATACTTGATAGCACCGATGGTGGGGAAAACTTCTCTGTGTCTGTATTCAGGTGATATGAGCTCCACCTCTCCCTGGTGTACCACATTCTGTATAGCCCTCTTGTTGGCCAGCACCTTGCTGCATCACTTCTGTGGGCATGCCTTAAATGGTCAGCTCTAAGACACACAAGGAAGCAAGGAAGCGTTGCTGTAGCTAACAGAATCTCTTGCTTGAGCTACATATGCCTGAGATTCTATCAACCTGGTATTTTGTCTGTAACGTGTATGTGATTCTGCTGGGACAATTTGTCTTCACAATGCTACAGGTACTTGTAGGTCATAATGATTTTTCCCGCCACCTTTACTCATCCTTTGGCCAAACTTAATAAATGTTCAGTGCTTTTTGTCTTTGTGAAGCGGAAGGCACTGTGATGCAATCACTTCTATGGTGGCTTATGTGGTTTTCTAGGTACTGAGTTCTGTGGTGACATGATGCCTGTATATTTTAGGAGGGTGAGAGAGAGGAAGGAGTAGAAGGTGAAACCTTGTCAGTGCAGAATGATGTGGTGGGAAATTTAACAGCCTCAAAGATTTACTGGTTAAGTCCAAGGAAATAGCTGTCATCTATCAGTGAAGTTTAATACATGATACTCTGGTATGGAAATTTGAATGCTATTATTGTGTCAAACTTCTAAAGCCTGTATCTTCTGTGTTTTCATTTCTCTTCCTGTAAAGTCATCTTTGAGAAATTGCAAAATGAAGTCTTTTTAAGTGGCTGTGATAATTTTTGCGATTCTTTCAATTTCACATCATCCACAAATTTTCTAAATACAAGTATTTTTTATTATGCAGATATTTGGTACTGAATTGATAGTAAGGTTGGGTACTGAGGAATTATCTCATTATCTGAAACTGTTTGATTGCTAAATTTCAGAGAATGAGTAGCAAGAATTTTGATATGTGCACCAGGAAAAAAATACGTGTGTCTTTTTAGTTTCTAAGTTCTGATATTAAGGGTTTCATAGCCTCGGCATTATTGGCATGTGAGACCAGATAACTTTTAATTGGTAAAGGTGAGGAGCCTGAGAGTTGTAGGATGTTTATCTGGACACCACCTGCAGGATGTCCCCCTAGTCCTCTCACACTTACAGTAACCAAGTGTATCAGATTATCTCTGAGGGTAAAAGGGCAGAATTGCCCCCTTGAAAACCATTGCACTTAACTAATTTATAAATAACATGAAACTCAAAAGAATAGCAAAGACTGTCATAACCACTTAGAGATACTTCAGTTTGTCAATTGCATGGAAATATATATATATATATATATTTTGGTACTGGGGATTGAACCCAGGAGCACTTAACCATTGAGCCACATCCTTAGCCCTTTTTTTATTTTACTAGAGACGGGCTCTCACTGAGTTGCTTAGGGCCTTGCTAATTTGCTGAGGCTGGCTTTCGACTCAAGATCATCCTTCCTCAGCCTCCTGAGCTGCTGGGATTACAGGCATGGGCCACCGTGCCTGGCCAGAAATAATTTTTAAGGAAAAAAAATACTAATAAAAGAAAGGGAGAGATTACCTTTAAAAGTTAAGTACATTAAGTTTTTTATATAAAAAGAACATCATATATTAAACCTTATGATTGTATGAGAACTATTTCCCTAGACCTGGTCATATCCTGCCTCTTCCATTTGCTGTTCTCAAAATTAACAATAGTGCTTCATTGATCTTATTTCTAAGTTCTCTTCCTACCCTGCAGTGCAGTTTCAGATAGCCAACTAGTGCTTTCTTATTGATGACAAGTAAATTTCAGCTAGCCCTTCTTTGTGTTATTTTAAAGAGTTGAAATTTTCAACCAGGGAAGAATTTATCAAAGGATGGATGTGCTTTGAGGTCTACCAGCAGCTCTCTGGATGGGAATGCCAATCTCTCTGGCAGTTGGCCTCCATGCTGGGTTTGTAATGTGTCCTGGAAAACATTCCCTACCTCTCACTGGGCAGTATATAATCCTTTCAGTTCTCTCTTCCTTCCCTCAGACAGTCTCTATTTTTATTGCATAGTCAGTGGCAGATAAATGCCTTCTTTGTATGTTACTGTTCTCATCCCTTCCTGTGAGATTTTTTAGTTTGAAGGCATGTATTTGTATTGCTTTATTCCATTCCAACCATTTTCCAACATTCCAACAGAATGTCAGTTGCATGTATGCTGAAAAAATTAATTTATTTTAATGTGAATAGAATCTCAGGCTATTTACTGTGGGTTTTTTTTAAACAACGTCAGAGTCCATTTTAGTTATATGAATGCAAATAATTTGTAATTTAGATTTTATTCAATGAATACATTTTTTTTTTCTGAGTGGTATAATTATCAGTCCATTTGTTGATGCTTCCACTTCAGTTAAGTGAATTATTAGAGTATCTGATACAGCAGTTATGACTAAAAAAGTTGCTGTATGTCCAAGATACTGTGTTGTTTTATGCTAATGACTATCATTTTTAGTACAGAAATAATAATTATAAATAAATAAAATGTTTTTATACTGTATTGCTGTTTTGGAGATAATTTGTTATACTGAAATTTTTCTGAATCTTTTCTAGATCTAAGTTTACATATTTTTAGAAATTTTCCCTTAGTGTATGTCAGAGAGGAGTGAGTAGTTTTGATAATGAAATGAGACCTTACAGGAATATTTCTGGGGCAGCTATAATACTTCAAATAAGAATCAAATTGAGAAGGCAGAAAAAGAGAATTATTTTCCATCTTTGACTATCAATAAAATAGGAGTAATGATGGCAGCAGAAACCAGAAATACTGTTCTAATTTGCCAGTTTTTTCCCAGCGTGTGATCTAGAACTACCTATTTTTATATAACCAAAGTAATGGAAATATAATTTTTATTTTCATAATAGGAGGTGGAATAAACTAAGACTGCAAGACAAAGAGAAACGTCTGAAACTTGAAGACGATTCTGAGGAAAGTGATGCCGAATTTGATGAAGGTTTCAAAGTGCCAGGCTTTCTGTTCAAAAAGCTCTTTAAGTATGTGCCATGTGTTTTGTCCTTTAAATTTGTCATTGAGCCATTGGGTACAAATTAATATTTTAGGAATTACACATTAGTTACCTGTAGGCCCTTAAGGTACTTGCAGCAATTTACTGCAAATACAAACACTGTCAAATGAAATTTTAGCCACATGCTGTTCATTAAAATTAGATGATAATAAATTGACTAAAGTGCACGTTGGGTATGTTTGTAAACTGATGAGTCTATATAGATCTAAGCAGACTAAAAGCAACATATTTAAAAACCTCTCCATTGAATTATTTTTTTGTTTTTAGTAATTTTAAGGAACCAAACCGCTAATTCTTACTTCAGACTAATTTTAAAAAAGAGTTGTATACTAAAATCAATATCAAGAGTTGTATGTTAAAATCAAACCTCTGGAGGGCCCCCCCCCCCCCCCCCGCCTTTTAACTTCTGTGTAGAAATAAAAAAATGTTCACATGATTTTCTGAGTGTCCTATATCATACCTAAGGGTATAATACGTTTGAGTTGACCAAATGTGCTTCTAAATATTTTATGTAGATGTCGTTCTAATGTCAGAAGAGAAGACTTAGGCAACACCTCGAGGATTAAGTTGCTATTTGAGGCTGACTTGTTTCTTATGTAAAATGGCTGAGTGTTAGGGATGAACAACTGCTGCCTGATAGATGTATGCTTTGAGTCTATAGGCTGGGCATCTCCCATGATGAATGTAAATAGTAAGGAACATTTTCCATCTCCTCACTCCTAGGATTTACTTAACAAGATGCTTAGGAAGGCTTCTTAGGTGCATACAGGAAATTAAACCATTAAATAGCTTCTTTCTCTCTTTTTCCTATCAATTCATAGTTGGTAGCAGGATGCAAATTTCTCTCTGTGAGATGATTAAGTTTGATGTCCTTTATAGATTCAGGCATCAGCCATGTCCTAAACTTGTAGAAAATGTCTGCTTAAAAATAGCATGCTCTTTGGGCTGGGGTTGTGGTTCAGTGGTAGAGCACTTACCTAATTAAGCATGTGTGAGGCCCTGGGTTTGATCATCAGCACTACATAAAAATAAACAAATAAACAAATAAGTAAAGGTGTTGTGTCCAACTATATATATACATATATATATAGATAGATAGATAGATAGCATGTTCTTTATATTTCCTTTCAAAGAGTCCATGTATATACACATATACATACACACACACACACACACACACACACACACACCCTCCATATATACATGGGATATGTGTATTGGGCTGGGGATCGAATTCAGGGCTTCAGGCATACCAGGTGAGTCCTCTACCTCTGAGCTACATCCTCAATCCTTTATTTTGGTTTTAATTTCTCTATGCAGGGTTAGGGGAGAGGTAAAGAGTAGTTATTTCATCTCACTACACTTAGAGCAAAGAGGAGTCCTTAGAATAGGTGAATTGATGCACTTGGGTGACCATAACTGAACAGAGAAGAATTGCAGATAAAATTTGAATCTCTAGTAATTTCTGCAGAGAAGTCATTTCATAGCCTGGAGAGGTGGCTGCTTTGTTTATTGCTTCTCCCAAATGAAAACCAACCATGGGAAAGTAAATAAAGGCAACATTTAATGGCCACTCTTTCATTTTCTCTAAACTGATTGCTTATTAAGGAACAGGCGAAATAGTCTGAGTGTTGTACTGGCAAAAGGAATACCCACATTATAGATTCAATTGATTTAACAAAGACAGGATGCTTCTGCACATGTAGTAAGTTATTTGGCAAATAACCTGAGGAGTCCAGTTTGAATATGCATTTTTATATAAATGTCAGGTTTTCTAGCAAAGAAATTTCACAATTAATAGAATCAAACTTATGCTTACTAAGAATGTTTGTACTTACTAAGAGTCAATGTATTGACTATTAACCCTATTGTATTAAATATTAAATGCATGATGTTTGTGTTTTTAATTAGTTTTAAACATACATTCTTAGAAAGCATTTAATTGTTTATCAAAACCAGAATTTTAAATATTTTATAAGTGTTTTAAAACTTCTGTTCCTGTTCTTCTGTATAAAAAGATTAATAGGAGTCTCCATTTTTCTTTTATGATTAAGTTTTACCAGGCCAATTTAATTTTAAACTATAGATATGTTTTTACTGTGCTCTGTGGAATTGAATTAACAGGGTGTATAGTTGTACACCAGGGAGTCAGAAGGTAGAGTTATCCACTTAAGTGCTGTTTTCTTCAAGATAATGTCTAACTTCTAAATTTCTGTTTTGAAAGTTTGCCCAGCAAATGCATTCATCTGTATAATTTAGCAGTCACATGACAAACTTCTATCTTTTGACCTTACTTTTAGCCAAACTAGTAAACACAGTATTGAGTTAATATGGCAGTGCTAATATACACCAATTTTTGTGGTTATTTTGGGATGTTTGGTATCATGGAGATAGCAGAGTACAATATTTTGTTAATATTTTTAAATAGTTTATAAGAATCTTTCCTTTTTTAAAGAAAAATTTTCATGCTTTTCAAAGGCTTTGAAACTGGATTCTGTAATCTGTTTTCATCTCAACTGTGTAATTGTTTTATAGTATTTTACACTATTTATTATTTGAAAAGTGGAGCAATAAAACCAGTCAGTACCTTTGCTGGAACCAGAGCCCAGGCCTCCTCACTCCTCACCCAGCATACACCCCTGCTGACCATGGTGCATGTGTGAGTGAATTTCCTTCAACTTCAAGGATCTACCTGTGCTGTGGGTGTAAAGAACGAGCTACTCTGTACCATCTTTGTGCAATAGCCCTAGCTATTGGAGATTTCCATGTGGAAATGTGACTTACAGATTTTTCCTGAAGTCATTTCTTTAGTGCTACCCATCTTCTTGTAAACACACAATCATGCTGTTTGAGAGCTCTTAGAAATGAGGTTGGGGATGTGATAACAACCGGCACATTGCCTTTCGAGGGTCATGTGGAATCCAGTGTTCTAGCTCCCTCCCAGACTACTTCTGGGATACCATACTGATTACCATTCTTTATCAAAATTTCCCAGTTGCTGTTCTCCAGATTCTTCCCACTTTTATTATGTTATGTTTAGGCCCCAGATAAAGAGAGGTGTTGGCCCTATGTTGGGTGGAAGTAGTATAGGTAGTATGCCAGTGGGGAGATTCTGATTCCTGCCCTGAGGAGCTGCTCCCATAGTACCTTAGTTAAGAGGAGGTTAGTTGGCTAAAATTCAGTGATTCTGGAAACTGGTTGAGTGTGACAAGTTACTTAACCACTCTGAGCCTTTGTTTCCTAATTTAAAATGTACTGATAACTGCTTCTGTGCAGGTTATTTGATTCTGTGTCCAAACCACCAGGCCTAGTGCAGTAGACTCATTATTCTCTGTTTACATCCAACATATTTATGGAACATGTTCTTTCTGAATTAAATGATCTTATACACATACTAGACCATTATGTTTTGATTTTTAACCCTCTTCTCCAAAGTGCATATCCAGTGTGTATTTTATAATTAGAAAACTAAAGTAGAAAAGTTCTCAAAAGTTTTCGTTACATTGTAGGTAATGGTAACAGCTAGAGGAACACTTCTAGATTGATCTGCAGAATACTGGGGGAAAGTTAATTACTGGAAAGAGGTTAAATAAAATCAGCTCAATAAGAACTGAGGTCTAAATGAGATTTTAGGTAGACATACCAGATATCAAATAGTAAATATTGGGACAGTGAAACAACAAGAGTAATGCCATCTTCTTCTAAGGTGGATAGCTCATTAAACTTGGTATCTTCTTTGGAAAAAACTTAAGTAGTTTTTATTTTAGATTTTTAAACATGTCATAAAATCTTCATATTATTGAGTGATGTTAAGTCTTTCATAAAAATGGTTTTGTATTATTCCTTTAAAAAAAAAAAAACTTCAGTTTTGGATTTATAGACTGACTGTTCCATTAGTGGAGATAAGAAAATACCAGCTCCTATATTTTGTTTTTGTTTTTTTTTTTTTTTTGAGAGGGATAGTGATATATTATTTCTCTTTGACCTGTTTTTCTTATTTAAAATTTTAATAGCTCTAATCTTTTTGTCCTTATGATAAAATCCCTGAATCAATTTCTATTTTAAAATATTAAAAAGAACTTTTGTATTGTTGAGTCTTTAAACTTTCTTTTTTGCATCTGGTAGTGGTACAGCAGAGTCATCTGTTATATACTAATTTTGAGAGCAACCCTATTATTCAGACTTGTTTATTGCCTTAAAATTTAATTTTTCCTATAAAAAGATAATGTGATTATCAAGTTACTTGACAGTTGTATAAGTAAATTGTGGTGTTATCTGTTTTGCTTTCTTGATGCTATTCAGATTGAAAAAACAAACATATTGCCTCATACAAAAAAGTATGAAACTTTATAGACTAAAAATATTTGGAATTTTTTTCCTAGAGAGTGAATAAAAGATAATAAGTTTATGCTTGTTTACTAAGCTACTCCTATTGTTGAAAAAGAAATGAAATAGACCCTAATTACCCTATCTATCAGTTTAATTAGAAATGTGTTAATGTTCTGTAAAGAAAAATTTGTGATTTTATGCCTAGGTGATCAAAAATGTATGACCTTATAAATATAATACTCATGTAAAACACACATCCAGCCTCTTTCTCTGACTGGTACTAGAACCTAGCCAAATGATTAATTCATGAGTACTTTCTGTTATGATCCGTATTATCTACCATTTGCCGTTTTCTCTTTTCTTGTTGGTATTTTTTGTTGTAGGTACCAGCAGACAGGTGTTAGGTGGCTGTGGGAATTGCACTGCCAGCAGGCAGGAGGAATTCTGGGAGATGAAATGGGATTGGGCAAGACCATCCAGATAATTGCCTTCTTGGCAGGTCTGAGCTACAGCAAGATCAGGACTCGTGGTTCAAATTACAGGCAAGTGCTCCTCTGCAGACTGTCAGTCTGTGGAGCTCAATTAATATTTCATCAGATGTATTGCTGTGGAGGAGGGTCTTGTGAATTATTGATGACATTTCAATTACAATATTCCTTTAATTCTTTTAGTGGGGGACATCAAAGGAAAAATTTTACGAGACAATGGAGCTGTAGGGCAGGAGAAATTAAACATGTAACACTTTTAATGAATTCCAGGCATTGATGCTTCATTTTGCAGATGAGCCCCACTAGATATTTTGGGTCAATACAATGTCTAAGGTTAGCTCCTGCAAATGGATTGTTTACAAACTCAATTATGTTAATATCAATAGTTTACACAATATGGAATTTTAAATTAGACATAATACCTTTAGTTCCATTTATTAAATTTTACATTAAAATATTTGTTCTGGCAGAAGACCAGGTGAGCATTACAGTAAGCACAAAGTCTATTCATGGTGAAAGTTGGAGCTTTGAAGAAGCCATTCTCCCTAATTTCCTTTATAGTCAGTGCTTGTGATAGCATTTATAGAAAGCATTCTTTTTCTTTTTGAATGAAGTTACTTGTCTACTCACTATGTTCCCCTTGTGGCTCCCCTCCCAGTCTTTACGATTTCATATACATTCCAAGGCCAAGGCCAAAAAGACTGTGTAGATTTTAATTTTTATTGTCCTTAAAAATGTGAATAAACTTTAGTATTCTAAAATAATATGTATTTTATTGTTCAGTATGGTAGGACTGAAATACCTGATCTTGAAGTAAAGGACTTGAGTACATTTCCATATTTAAGTTGTAAATGGGCTTTATGGAAGTCTGTATTAGTAAAAATATTTCAGGTAAGTTATATAAGATGTTTAATCTTGAACCCAGATAATCCAAGAGCTCCTATGTTTTGGTAGACTTATCTAATGAGTGAGAGATGGTTGTGACCTAGGAATCTCAGGTACTCCCAACATATGATTTGGAAATGCCTTTAAAACAGTGTCTGTGTGCCTGAAATCAGCAATTACAGAAAGTTACTGTCCTTCACTTCAGTGTATCAGCAGAGAAATGTTTAATAGAGAGTCAAATACCGACTGTGAGCTATTGAGTAAAAACTGTTATTTTTAGTCTTCAGAGTTTGGCATTTTGCTTTTATTTTTTGTTCTTTCATTCAGTTAGCAGATCAGTACTTCTTGTGAAGAATGTTTGAAATTTTTTTAAAAATTGGAAGTTCCTATTGTATTTATATGGATGTAAGAGGAGGGAAAACATTTAGAGAGTTTTAAATGCTACATATTTTGTCAATGTCATTATAAGGAAGTTGTATTGAAGCAGAGGATTTTCTCAAATGTTAAAATTCTGTTATGTTTTGTCTGGAAATATGTAAAAACATTTCAACCCAAGGGAAAAATCAAAGTTGAAAATGGGCATATAGGGTTTTCTTATTTATGACTGTCATTAGTTTAGCATTTAAAAAATGATTTTGTTTAAATTAGCCCCCCACCTTTTTTTTTTTTTTTTGGTGATGCTGGGAATTGAACCCAGGGCCTTGTTCATGTGAGGCAAGCATTCTACCAACTGAGCTATGTCCCCAGCCCACAGATAAGTTCTTTGATTGTCCTCTCTGTTGGTTTTTTGTTTTGTTTCTGTTGTTTAGGTAACTAGAATGTCCCAAGTTGCCCCAGATGGTTTGTAGGATTGTCTTTCCTTAAATGATTTTTGGGATTTTCTAATTTCCCACCGCTTTCCTTCCCTTCCCTTCCTTTCCTGTTATGAAATTTGTATGGAGTCTAGTATTCTGGGCCTAGGAATCCTAAAGTTATCCCTGCAGTGTTGTTTTAATCTAAAAATTAAAACATGTTCTCTTGAGTGGTGACAATCCTACTAGGAGTGGAAGTCAGGACTAATAATGAGCATCATCTGTAATCAATTAACTATCAATGCCCATAACCTCTTCTTCATAATGAAATAGTGCAGCATATTGGACTAGTGCCCAGATCATCTTTATTAAAATAGTATTGGTGGAAGTGGCTTCTGAGAATGCTGTAATATATCAGCCAAACAACTAGGGTCTTTACATATAGAGGTGTACTGAGGAGCTTGGTTCCCTTCCACTTCACATGCCCAGGCAAATTGGTTAACATTTCCCTAACAGTTTTAAAACATGACCTCTCCTGAAACTAGGTGAACTTAAGAGTCCTCCTCTTTGCTTGTGTCCTAAAGAAAAATCATCAGCCCTTGAGGTCAAATGAAGTTATGCATGAGCTGGCATTGCTTCATTGGCTATGTACGTTTTTTTCTGAATTCTTGCAGCAGAAGATGTTGGGGGCCAAATTTGAGATGGTCTTAGTGTTGCAATTTTAAGGTTCATGAACACTGGAACATGAAAAGTTGTGTGATACCAAGAAACTTCATAGTAAAAGAAATTTGGTTTGTTGTTAGGTGTTTTTAAAATGCGTATTGTATGCCTGTTTGTTTTTAGAAGAGGGAAAAACATTACATGTGGTTAATAAAAATCTAAACCAGTTGTTTTATTTCTGGTTTATAATGGATAAATTGCATTCTTTTCACCTTGCCATTTTTATTATAATGATGGGCCCCTGAATGTTATGATGGAGAGGAAATACAATTATTTACCTTTCAAACTTTAGTACTTTAATGTCTTGGTTATCATTTAGTTAATTTCTAATTAAGAATGAACATCCAAAAAAGTTAATAAACTTTTTATTGTACTTTGTAATTCCTGGCTATGACTAGCAGGTTTCCAACCTTATGATTTAAATATTTGACCATGAAGCTGTTGATGTACCAAATTCATTAGGTAATCAATGATGATGAAAGATAAAAGGAACTGGAGTCTGTTTGGTAATTGATGCTAATCACTCTAGTACATTTAGCCATTTCTTAGGCTCATCTCATTGATATTAAGGTTGGAAAGGGTGGTTCAGTTGTTGTGATTGTTAATGGGTTTGATTGCCCATTCTGTGGTCCAGGAACAATCTGCCTCAGCTCTGAGATTTCAACTCAGTGTGAAAATCTCCCTATTTTAATGAGGGAGGTGGGGAGAATGGCAGAAATTAAAGGGTATAATAATGTCAGATAGATGTAAAGCAGAAGAAAATAGTTGCCTTAAATGAAAAAGTGTGAGTCATCAGTGTAGCAGTTTGCAGAAGGTGTGTTATAAAGAGAAAAAAAAAATGGTATACAACCTAAAAAGCCATATGTATGAATTCATGCTTATTTGAATGTGAGCTTGTTTTTAAATATTTTAAACAGCCCTTGATTGGTTGTTCCCTAATCCCTGCTAAGTGCATATTGATGATAATTCTCTTTTATGACCCTTGGAGGATATAAAGAAGCTTGTGCTTTTAATCCTTTTAAAAAGGAATGCTGTTTTGGAAGGGGCCAGGGGCCAGGGCAGAGTCCCATTCTCCCCAGGGAGCTTGAGGGGCATCTGTCAGGGCCCTGCCATTGGTGAAGATCTCAGCTTGGATAGTCTGAGGACATTCTCTTGGAAGTGTTGAGTCTATTGTGACCTCTGGCTTCTTCTGCTCTGACTCTGAGAGCCAGGGGCAGTAACCATGCATAGCAGGAGGTGGGAGTATTCATAAGCAGACAGAGGCATTTTGTCATGTTGGAGTATAGGGTAAGCCTCCTTAAAGTTAGGGCTTGGCCCAAAATCTCATTTTTCTGTTAGAACCACCAGTTTTCATTTGCATAGAAGATGATGTTGAATATTTTAAGCACCGTGTGGTTTACTCTATTTATAAAAAAAATTTCTGTTCAGGAGTCAAAAATCAATCATGATCCCCCAACTTGGAAGTAATCTCTGAATACTTTGACCATATTTTCTTCCAGTATTTAAAAAGTGTTTTCATGTAATAATGCCAATTTGAGATCATTTGAAGAAGAGGTTATTCATAGTCTCAAGAAGCTCAGGAAGGGTAACACTATTACGAAAGGATTACAGTGGGGTCCTAACTAGCATAGGTGCTCTAAGGAAGGGTCCTCAACATGTCTGGAGAGAACGAGACAGGGAAGTCTCTATGGAGGAAACTGAGGTCTTGAGATGAGTAGAAGATAGCTGGGAGGAAGAGGAGGGTAAAAAGCAAGTGAGGGTTGAAAGGTCAGCAGAATGTGCTTTGTAGGAACTGAGGACAGTTCAGGCTGGCAAGGTGCTGGCCATGTGGGCAGGTATTAGGGTCATGGCAGTGAGAGAGGTGAGGCTGTAAGAGTGAGTAGAGATGAGATTCTCATGGTCTTACAGGCTAGACCTAGGTGTGCACTGTCCCACAAGCAGTGGCAGCCATTGGAGGCTTTGAACTGGGGGTATGAGACATTCAGATTTTGCTCTGAGAAAGGATCATGTTGGAAGGTGCCATAACTCAGATGAAAGATGATGGTGGCTAGAACTGTGACAGTATATAGAACTATGACAGTATGGAGTGAGGGACATGAGAACTTGGAGAGGAATTTAGGAGGTGGAAATATTGGGAGTTTGGTTGCTTCTGCTGGAGTACAAGAAGGCTGGTTAAGGGATAAGGCCTGGTCTTCAGAATAGGCCCTGGAGAATGGATGTTCTTTGTCCACTGGACAGGGAAACTGGGGTGAAGGGGACTTTTGATGTATGCTGCAGTGGGGACATACGCATCAGCAATTAGATATCTAGTGCAGGATAGTTTAGAATTAAGGAAAGAAATCTGGCTGGAGACCCAGTCTTGGCATCCTGGGTGCACAGATAGAGTTGAAGCTGTGGGGATTAGGGATATCTCAGAGGAATTTGTGTACTGTGGAGTAATTCAAGTGCATTTTGCTTCACACAGGCAGAAAGAGGGAGGGGAGGGATAGGGCAGTTTAAGATGTGACTGTTTCAGATGAGAGGGAGTCAGGCCAGGTGGCATCCAGGGCCTGGGGCCTTGATCAGCCTCTTGGAGCTTGAGCTGAGTGTGGACCCTGGTGTGCATGAAATTGATGTGGTTGGTTTTAACTTGTACTTCAAGCATTAACTAGTACTTGGCCACCTGCTATTTGGCTGTACAGGTAGCAGGATAAACTGAGAGAGAAAAGTCTCCCCCAACCTGGAGTTTATGTAAGTCCTTCCTCCCTAAATTGGACAGTCATACTAGGCCAGTTCTGTGGACCTGGGAGAGTTGCTGGGATGTACTGTGCATTGAATGGCTTTAGAGGAACAGAATTCCAGCTTCATAGAGAACATGTCTGTGGGAGGTGTGTGTGTGTATGTGGGGGGATTGGCATTTACCCAAACTGTAGTTCTGCTAGGAAGGAGAGAGAAGAGGAGGACATTGACATAGTGGCCACCACCAGTCTCCTGGCTACCTGTATGTCAAAAAATTGGGGTGATTCCATAAATGATTTTGTTTTGTAAGAATTTATTATGAACATTTCCAGGTTATTAAACATTCTTCAAAAACTATTTTAATGGTTATATGATATTCTGTCTTAACAAACTCTTATAGTATTTACTGTTTGACCCTGTTCTAAGCACAGGTTAACTGATTTAATCTTTATAGTAACCTTATAAGATCAGTACTGTCATTGGTCCCATCTGAAGATAAGTGAGGTTCAGAAAGGTTAATTAATGTGCCCAAGATGACAACTTAGTGCAAGTAGAGCTGAGGTTCAGACCCAAGGCAGCGTTCCTAACTACTGACCTGCGCTGTGCAAAAGACATGAGATAGTTCATTCAACACTTTCTTTTTGAACTTTTAGGTTGCCTCTGCTTTTTCTGTAGTATAAATAACACTAAAGTGTGTGTTCTGGTACAAACTGTTTGTATTGGGATTGCTGGGCCCCTGGGTGACTGCTCATAAGGCTCTTGCTTGTCCTGTGCTGCTCAGCTGCTTTCCACACAGTGGTATCAGTATACAGTCTACCATATAGCCTTTCCTGGGGAGAACAGTCACTGGCTGCTTCTCCAGGTGTTGCCATATGGAGAAGCAGGCAGCATGGTGGACTGAGAGCAGGCCATAGCAAGTAATAGACTCACTTCAAAGCAGTTCTCCGTTTCCTGGTGGTGATGTTGCTCTGGGCACACCAGCCTTCCAAGCCACTAGTTCTGTCCTGCTTGTCCCAGGATGGTGAAGATATATTGAAATTCTGTGGGTTAAAAATTTTGGTAGGTGTAAAGCTCCAAATTTAAGATGCTATTGTGTTCACTTATATAATTTCACTAATGTGGAATAGAAAGGAAGAGAAAAGTATTTTTGTTATGTAATATTGTTCAGCTTTCCTTTACTATAGATGTTAACTTTTAATATTATTTGGTGTTTTCTCTTAATTCCTGCATCCACTAATGATTGTTGGACTCAGATTTTACTTACTAAGTTATAACCTCACTGAGTTTTTAATATCATGAAACTTCCACAGCTTGCATTTTCTTTTTTGTACTGTTAAGGGTTTTTGTCTTTAGCAGTAGATCACTCTATATGCTGGCTTTCATGGTTGTGTTTTCTTCTTGGACATTTGGGTGCAGGTTCGAAGGGTTGGGTCCCACTATACTTGTCTGTCCAACCACAGTGATGCATCAGTGGGTCAAAGAATTCCACACATGGTGGCCTCCATTCAGAGTGGCAGTTCTACATGAAACTGGCTCCTACTCCCACAAAAAGGTAATGCTATAATACTTCAGTACTTTTTTTGTTTTGTTTTAAAGCCCTCCATTACATATTTGGTTTTTCTTTGAACCATGTATTTCTCAAATATATATTCCTGTATCTTTCAAGCATTTAAAATTATTTTATAATTACTGACAATGTAAAACTCAGTGATTATGAATATGTACTTATTGTTCTAACATCTGTAGTGATGCCGGGATATGTATGTTGTCCAGCAAAACACAAATCAGCACAAACTAGTACCATAAGCCTGATATTATGTGCAGGATCATAACAGGTGACTTAAATGATGGCTCACTGGAGAGTTATCAGCTTTAAACAGTTTTAGGAAAGTGAATACAGGTTTAACATTCCTAATCCGATATCTGAGATGCTTCAAAATGTGAAGCTTTTTGAGCACCAATATAACATCAAAACTGGAAAATTCACACCTGACTTCATGTGACAGGATGCAGTAAAAATGTAGGTGGACTAAAAATATTGTATAAAATTACATCAGACTATGTGTATAAGGTGTATATGAAACAAATTAATTTTGTGTTTAGACTTGGGTCTCAACCACCAGATATCTCATGTATATGCAGACATTCTCAAATCTGAAAAATTTCTAAATCTGAAATAAGCATTTTGGATAAGGGATATTTGACCTTAATTGGTAAATCCATTTCTTAATGTGCTTATTTTTAATATACTTTTTTTAGTTGTAGTTGGACACAATATCTTTATTTTATTTATTAATTTTTGTGGTACTGAGGATTGAACCCAGAACCTCACATGTGCCAGGTGAGCTCTCTACCACTGAACCACAACCCCAGCTCCTGTTAATGTGCTTTTACAACATGTTTTTGATGAATAAAAGCAGCTTGACAATTTTCGATTTTTACAAGTATTCTTTTTTAGTTTGTTACTTTTTGTTTTCTGAATCCTGTATCATCATGTATTGAGAGTTGTATTTCCTCCCTTATTTGTAGTTCTGTTACTAGCTGCATTATCAAAAAGGGGGTTTATCTCTGCTCCTATGGCTAGCATTATAGAAACATTGTGCTATGCTTTTTTTCCCTTCCTTCTCACTATCTAAACTGTGAACTCAATAGATAACACTGTGTCTCATTTTGCATTCCAGTTGCCCTATAAGCATTTGCTGAATAAATAATAATCGGTTTCACTGTTGGTTTTGCCAGTTACATTACTGATAAGAAGTGGGAGGTTTTTTTTTTTTTTAATGAATTCTGCCTTTTCTGAATCTTCTGAACTCTTCTCAAGTGAGCTCTCCTTCACCCTAGGAAAGCAGTGCCAGCTGTAAGGGCCATGGACGTTTGGCTCACTGACTGACGAACTCCAGTGGCTCCCTAATTTTTCCCATTTCCCTTTAAATTCTTATATGTTCACAATCATATATGAGCAGAACTTTTGATAGAAATTAATCAAGAATACCTGATTTGGTAACTGAATAAGGTGAGGTGGAATCTTGTTTATACTAGCTGTTACTGTTAAATCAACAGATTTTGACCATGATTTAAAAGATAATGGAAAATAGAGTTAAGATAATTAATGACGGTGAGTAAATGCTGTGTTTTAAAAGAAAGTGAAAATACTAAGTTTAAGTTGTTTGCTAGCCAGACTTTCACTTGTTACAACTATCCTGTTATCACCCATTCAAAACTTAATGATTCTTGTTTTCATTTCCATTATCTGTTGACATCCTTAATGTTTTGTGCTATAAAATTCTGTAGCAGGATTCATTAGTAAATCTTTGTCTTATAAAGGCAAATTTTTTCATATGTTTCTTCTTTATCCTTTTATTTTCTTTTGGGTTAGCAAAGTACATGTACTTCAAACTTTCACCTGGATTGTGCTTACCTACAGTCCCTCTGTAATTATAACCTGAAGAACTACCTTCCTGTAAATCACCTACATTGACTCATTAGTGGAAAGAGAATTGATATTGAACTTGCTGTTTTGACAGCAAATTGACATTGAACTTTGCTGGGAAAACTTGATTCCTTAACTCTGATAGAGGGCAAAAACTTAAAGCCTAGATATTTTACTTTGGGTTAGAATAGTTCCACCTTCTGAGGTGGATTTACACCCAGAGACAAATGGATGGTGGTTTCTCTTTTTGTCAGTGCTTTCCAGTTTACAAGGACTTGAGCTTGAAACTTTTTACTTTTGAGGAAATGCAGTATTACAGTTACTGTGTCTTTTTACTCTTAATTTTCTACTATTCCTTTCCTATTATAAAGTACCTAAGATTTCTGAAGATTAAGCTGCTATGCAAAGATTGAAAAGATATACCTTTTATCTTTCAGACTGTATTCTTGACTTAAAAACACAGTTTGTTATTTATTATTAATGTCAATATCAGTTTATTATTTGTGGTAGTGTCACATTGAGAATGTGTTAATTGTTCCTTTGCATAGGCCTGGTTAGGGTCATTTCCAAGATTGTGACTTTGCTTTCTGAATTCAAGTACTAAAATGATAGTTGATCCTTCTGCTCCTTCCTTTCCTATCTGTGTGTGCATATCTTGGTCACTACTCCATGCACACCTGGTAGCTTACAAATATGTGTTAGACTGCAATAAAGTCTGTGTCTCTCTTTCACATTTCAAATATTCTGTCAATGCTGGTCTGTCCCCTAAGCCAGCATTTAATGTCTGACTTCCTTTCCTTCCTTATCAGCTGAGATTTCTTTTTCTTGTGGTTGAGGGTTCTATACCCACTGGCTCTCCTATCTGAATTCAGTAGTGACACTTTGGCATAGGGACATGCAATACTGGACTAAATAGGGGAAAGGAAAGAATTTCTCTTTAGAAATATTTGAAACACTAATAATGACAGTTGTTTTCCTTATAATTCAAAAGGAGTATCATTATTTTCCTAATACCTATTTGTAGCTGGTGTAACATAAAAATTTGAAGATTTTTTTCTTTTGGAAAACAGGTGATTGAACAATTTCTAAATAGTGAACATCTATCATTCTTCTTCCCTAAATTTTTTTTTTAGCTTCTCATTACTCTTACCACTTAATCCTATATTATCTTTGTTAAAAGTCTCTTTGATTGGCAGCATGATTTAGCATTGTCAAGTGCAAAAAAAAAAAAAAAAAAGAATTGTCAAGTGCACACCCAATAACTATATAAAAATATGCATCTATCAGTTTGAACCAAATGGTCATGTCTGATAAGGAAGATTTCAGACTTCTGAGTCTCCTTTGATGGTCACTTGAAATCTCATTGAATAGGAGTCTAAGATTTTCCCATCATGACTTGTGATCTCTTTTTTTCTAGCACAGAAAAAAATTGTGTGAATTGATTAATATTTATTTGTTGAACAAGTATAAATGCCACATTTCAGGTGTTTTGATATTGTTAGGGCTCTAAAAATGGATATGATAACTAACCTTGAAAATCCAACTGTTTTCTTGGGGAAAGAAAAGAGGATATATGAAAAGATAATGAAAGAAGGCAGTCTTGTGAGACTTAGCACATAACTCCCAGTGGGTGGTGGCATCGTTAGCACTATGTTGTAAAGCTTATTTAATGATTGAGAATTTTTTTAGATTTGTCGGAATATGGATAATGAGAAATTGTTTATATCCTGAAATAATTATCTCTTTATCTTTCCTACCTTTTTCTACTGTGTAGGATCCAGTAATTCTGTGGACTGTTTTAGATTATTCAGAGAGTTTTGCCTTGTTTTGATCAGTTTGTGCTATTTACAGTCATAGGAGTGGGAAAAACAACAATGGCATAGTTTTAATTGCATAGGTTTGGTAGTTACCGCACCTGGGTTTGAATCTTGGATCTGCCATTTTATGCCTTTGTGACCTCAGGCAAGTCACTTAGCTTCTCTGAGCCTAGTTTGATGTCCTATAAAATGAGAATTTTTTTATAGATTAGTGAGGATTGCTTGGATTAACATGTATGCATAAAAAGCTCAGTGTGGTCCTTGATATATAAAGTTACTTAAGTATTTGTTGTTCTTGTCAGAAAGCACAGCCCAGGCCTCTTCATTTCAGTGGTTGAGGAAAAATTCTGAAAGATGCATTGCTGATTGATGTGATATGTATTCTAGATAGAAAGTTCATTAACTGCTTTATCAGAAAGGTTTATGGTCATTCAGCTTCTAGATCTGTTTTTCTCACATCCAGATACATTTGATCCCAAATAGAGTGTTGAATTTTGGGGAGGGAAGTACAAAATTGGGAAGTGATTAAAAAGCAAACCTCACAAAAAAATTTGCCATCTGATGAAATTGCCATCATGGATTTTTTAAAAACTCCCCTTTCCTGAGATACTAGAGCAAAAAAAAAAAAAAAAAAAAAGGCTTTTTAAAAAGCTGAAGGGGGGTCAGGAAAAAAACCTTAACAAGTAAAAATGAAAAGGGAACCACCAGGTCTCTCAAGCATCCTAAATATTTCAGGCCCATTCCATGTACACAATTATAACACAAAGTGATATAATTTCTATTAACTTCAGAGTCAGTATATACACCTGATATAAGAAATGATAGATGCTAGGCTTGTTCCATAAGTTTTATTGTAAAATTATGTTGCTGGGGTCCTTTTTTCTTCATTGTCAGCACAAATCCTTGTTTATTAAAGATTTAGCTTGAAGGAAATTTTAATTAATTACAGGTGCAGTAAATCCTGCCTGGGAAGCTGCCGTGCTGTGTTTACCGTGAATGGCCTTCATGTGCCTGTGCTTCACTCGCTCTCCCCGCTGCCTGACAGTGTGATTTATGGCTGTTGTTTTCTACCAGTCCACTGTTTGCCCTCTAGGAGGGATTGGTCTCCTGAGCCTCCATAATAACAGCAGCATTTCCACAGACATCTTTTAATGACAACAGCACTGCATTCAGTAAGTCAGGCTAATTGCAGATGTACCCTATTAATTGCAAAAACTAGGAGAGGTTACATATTTTACAAGCTTTTAATTTGAAACCGCCCGAGATGATTTGTCTTAAGTGTTTGGATAGAGACGTCCATAATATTCAACAATTCACCATTATTGAAACTCCAGTCGAGGCAGTTATAGAATTCTGAGATTGAATCAGGTGAAAACAAATAGTGTGAGGTGTAAGTGGCTAAGTGGAGATTATTTTTGCAATGGAGACATTTTGCACAACTTACTCTTTTTATAAAAGCATTTTCTTAATTCTTGTTAATTGTGCATCTCTTTGAACACAGTAGGAATTCTGTATTTCTGTAGCCAGCATTACAGAATATTCCAAATAAACTTTGATTCTTAAATAAGCAAAAGAAACTACTCATTGCTCCATTAGTGTACATTTGAAGCTTGGCATCCCATTTATTTAACTAGGGTAAAGCTCCCAGCTACACAGAGTGGTGTCCAGAACTCACTCTGGGATTGTATTTCTTGAATGTTAATGGGATGGCCATGGCTGGTCTGTGCATCCAACAAGAGTTCCAGGAGCCATGAGCAAGTAGACCCATATTTTCAGGTTTGGCTATACACAGTGGACATTTTACAAATATGAGTGGTAATTTAACTTCCACTTTCTTTCAAGCCCCAGATAGCCGAAGTTGTTTCCTCTCACTATCTGAGTGCACATGGCTTGTTCCTAGAGTGGACTTGGGCATAGTCCCATGGCTCAATTTGCTATTGCCTTACCCCACTTGCTGGTATGGCTTCTCGCAGCCCCTGCTCTCTTGGAGGGGAAGATAGTGATAGACTCAGAGGGGAGCTGCCTGCCTACAATCTCAGTAAAAAAAATTAGATGTGGAAGAGCTATAGAAATCAGCTGGCTTCTCAAAGTTATGGAACTGGCCAGTTGAGGTACTAGATGTGCAGCCTGTTTCTCTGGTCAACATTTTTCTACACTGGGCATCGGCAGCCAAGGCAGTATCAGTGTAGTCCAGTGAGTGGGATGAAGGTGAGTCCTGGGCAAGCCTGTACATGTTTGCAAGGCTGTGCACCCGAGACATTTACTGCTTCATTTTCCTAAGATAAAAATTAGAACATGGTTAAAACAGGTGTGACCTTCATTATAGTACTATACAGAGGTTGAACTTTGTGAATGGGATGATGGAAAAGAGTGGTTATAATAATACAGTTCTCACTTGTCGAACCTTTTTAAAGGTCCCAGGTATTGTTTTGAATCTCCAAAACAATTTTATTAACTCTTTAAATGTGGAGTGTGTTATGACACATGAGAAGATAATTCTTCTCTGTTTTATTTCTTCAAAATTTTTTGTGCTCTTTGCACTCTTTTATGCTCTGTTGAATTAAAAAGCATTTTAATCCTAGTTCTTGAAGATGATATTAGTAAAATTACCATTTTTTAAAATATTTTGAATTCTATATAGTTTGTATGAAATGGTTTTAATTGCTTGATGATATTAGACTTTCCAATATTTAGCTATTCTGATATTCCTTATGATAAGCCTTATTAGGTTAATGTATTGCTGGGCTTTAAAGTAATAAATTTTTGATTTGGAGGTATGAACACATCTGTCAGTTTTGGAGACTGGGTTTTGCTAGCCTTGTAATAAGGATTTGAAATGCATTCTTTTTCTGTATTTGGGAACAGTTCTATAGCTAGTTCTATTCCTGTGTCACTTATAGAAGAGCATACATCTTTTTCAAGTTCTTCAGTATTATTCTGCTCAGTTGGTCTAATTTTTCTTGGGTCCATTTTCATTAGGGTAATTTTTTTGTAACTATTGTCTTATGTCAAAATGTTCAGATTTTTTTGGCACGTGGTATTGGTTAACATTTTTGTATTCTCTACATTGGTTAGAATGTAGAGAATTTCTAAAGCTGTACAATGAGAATGAGTCTGTTCTTTTGGCTGAGTTTTCAGAAATTGGTTTGGTCTTTTCAGAGAGTTTTTTTTTTTTTTCTCCTCATCAGTTCTGCCAGGTTTTTTTCCTGTGATTTTTTTTCTTTTTTCTTTTTTTATTCTGTCTTTTCTCTTTTTAATTTATTGGGTTGATTATACATATTGATCTCGGCTTTTTAAATTTTTTTACTTTTTCAGATTTTAACCTTTCTGAGTAGCATATTTGTAAAGAATGGGTATTTTTGATTCCTTTTTTTTTTTGGAGGCAAAGAGTAGGAACTATGGAATGAAATTGACCAAATTATGCCATGTGCATGTATGAATATATCACAATGAATCAACTCACTTTTATGTATAATTATAAGGCGCCAGTTAAAAGTAAATAAATAAATAGATGGAAGACCAGTAGAGGAAGGGGGAGGGAAGAGTGAAGAGAAAAGGGAAATGTTGAAGGGGGAGACCAGGTATTCTTTGTGCAGGCTAAGGCTCTGTTGATAGCTATGAAGGGAGCTTCTTGGTGGCACTGAAAGCCTTTGTGTACCAATTTTTAAAACTGTTTCCTTTAAACATTCTTTTCTCAGAAGCTGTGGTCAGGCCTCAGGACAGGTTGTGGTTCTCAGGGCTTTGCTTTTGTGTTTGTTGCTCTGTTTTTTGACAGGTAAAGGTGAATGCTGCTTCTTAGTATTTTACTCCCTTTAAAATTTAAAACATCCCTCTTGTTTCTGTTCACTTGTTTATCTCATGTTCATTTTGCTAAAACTACCCTTTTTTGTTTGCAGTTCTCAGTGTATCTTTGATTAATTCTGTTTCAGCTTTCATTGTGGGCCTGGTTTGGGTCTCCTTTAAACTCAAGGCTAGAGTTTTGCCTTACTCCAGGGAAAGTCTTGCTGTTAATAATCTGCCATCATGGTGACCTCTGGTATATCTTTAATCTGCAACTTACTAGCTTGTTTTCTGTTTCTTACATTTTCTGTTTTGTTTTTTTTTTTCTATTTTTAATACTTTTCCCCCTATAGTGGTCTAATAGTTCTATATCCTTTATCTTTTCTAGTGTTTATATAGAGTCAGCAACCATTAGTCAGTAATAGGCTTAAATTTTTGACAAGTGTAGTTTAACATATTTTTCTCTCACAGTTAAGACTTAGTACAGTATCTATTCTGTGTTTCATTTTGCCTGTGGATAGGGTGTGGTTTATAATCCACTTTTATTTTCCACCAATTTTACTCCAAGTTATATTAAGCTAAGCAGGGATTATAGTATAATTTAAAATATGTTTTATATTTTAGATCATTTGTTAACAGTTTCATTTATATTTGAAAGTGTTTAATATTTAGACTATTATGTTCTAATAATTTATTTTAAGATACATAAGTATGTATATTACATTTCCCCATTTTAAATTTTTAAAAAATTTATTGGTGCATTATTAGTGTACATATTAATGGAATTCTTTATTATGTAGTCATGCTTTATTTTCCCTTTTAAAGTTTTTCTTTGTAGTATAGTAAGAGGTAGTACAGCTTAATACTTAATAGTTCCAGCTTTGGAATGGACGACCTTCTGCTTTGGAATTCTGACTTTACCACTCCCATCTTTGTGACGTGGTATATTGGTTACTAAACCCAAGCCACAGTTTCTGCATATATAAAATGGGGTTAGTGGTGGTTGCTCTGTCCTCACTCAGCGAATTGCTAGGAGCATGCTGTCTCGAGAACATATAGGGTAGAGAGTGTTGCTTTAGCTCTTCCCAGAGGGCAGCATCTGCCTATCTGTGCACACCTCTCAGCTTCTGAATTCAGCACACTGTGTATCTAGCCAGCCTCTGGTTGGCCTATATTCTGAATCTTTGCCTATCTGAAGCTGGAATTTAAAAATTTTTTTCATCAAGCATAGCTGCTTGTTGGATTGATGCAGAATTCCAGGGTCTCCACTTCTCCTCTCCCCTGAGAACTACATAAAGATTTTTTTTCCTTTGCTTTTTGACATATTTAGTGTTATAGAAAGAAATGCCCAGTGCAGGAGGTCTTTCTTCTCTGAAAGGAATCTTCTCTTTCTCTGTTTTGTTTTGGTCAGAAGCCATGGCATTCTCTTTCTTTTATTTCTCTTTTTAGAATTCCGACATCCAGAAGGATGTGCCTTTTCAGTGTTTCTACCTGACATTCTGGGATTTTTTTTTTTTCTTTAGACTTACATCTCTCCTCAGTGTATTAAGTTTTTTCCTGTTTATATCCTTTTCACTCTAGTCTCCTGGAATTCATGTTATATATGGTTAGAAGTTCTAAATTTGACTTCCTTATCCCCATGAAGTTTCTTTCATTTTCTTTCTTTATTTTAAAACAATTAATCATTTTCCATTCACCTTGTTATTTTAAGTTTAACAAGGGTGGAGACAAAGAAGAATGAAAATTGAGGGCTTAACGTATTATAACTTACTCTTATCTTTCTTTTTGAGAGCTCCCCATTCCCTACCACCAATAGCTTTATTAGTCAGTGTTTACTGCCTTACAGATTAAACAAATGTAAAATACACTTTTACTGCTGAAAAGGTACTATTTAGGATGTGTGTATTATGTTTATACATTTTTATAAAGTGCCCTAAATTGTGTCATGATTGAAAGGGTGTCACTTTAAGTCATGTTCACTGTATTTTACTTCCTTTTTAAAATGGGCCTTCCTATTTTATTATGATTTTAGGAGAAACTAATTCGAGATATTGCTCATTGTCATGGAATTTTGATAACTTCTTACTCCTACATTCGTCTGATGCAAGATGATATTAGCAAGCATGACTGGCACTATGTGATCTTGGATGAAGGACACAAAATTCGAAATCCAAATGCTGCTGTCACACTTGCTTGCAAGCAGGTATGACCTCTCATAACAAGGAGTTTATAGGTTGGCAGTAGTATTTAATTTAGAATAGGCTTTCTGCTTTTAATAACACATTAATTAATTCCTTATGCTTAAGAAATTAAAAATATACATTTTACCTAAATGTAGAAAATTCTGTATGCTCACCCTTAATTGTCTTTTAAAACTCTGATTGTTCACATTACTTAGTGTCTCTTATAAGGATCAGTTGTTAGAATGTAACCAAATCCTACTCTAACCTATATTATTCAGCATGATATAAGAAAAAAATTCCCCCATTTTTCATCTATATGTAATTAAAGAATTATAATTGCATAAAATGTTTTGAGGAGGACGAAAATGATATAAGAATTAAAATGAGTAAAATGTGTTAAATAATGGTATTACATGGGAGTGTTTGGGGGCAGTGATATCCATCATCTGTTAAAAGGCGAATTTATTAAGAAGGTGCTTTATTTCCCAAACTAGTTTCGCACACCTCATCGGATCATCTTGTCTGGCTCACCGATGCAGAATAACCTCCGGGAGCTCTGGTCCCTCTTTGATTTTGTCTTCCCGGGGAAGTTAGGCACATTGCCTGTGTTTATGGAGCAGTTCTCTGTCCCCATCACCATGGGGGGATATTCCAATGCTTCTCCAGTACAGGTAATGTAGTAGGCAGGTGACAACTTTGGCATCTTAGTATTAAAATGTTGTTACTAATATTGTATTTTGTATTTTGTAGCCAAGTCATTCAGAATGTAAGGGAAATGGCCAGGCTTATAAATTGGTATCTGATAAAAATCAGATAATTATTTCTGCTTGATATACTTTTCCAGATAAACTTTTTTAAAAATCGTGTAAAATATTTACTTAGAGGAACTACCTAAAATTAAACTTTTCTTTGCAGAACAGAAATGAAAATTTTGGGTTGGTTGTTCCTGGGTTTTTTCTGTCAGATAAATTAAAAAATGATACTATGTGTGATCACAAGAACAGTGAGAAATCATGAAGTGAGAGCAAATCAGTTCAGCATATAATTTAGTGCAAATTGGGTAGTACATCTTATGAAATAGTGAAAGACTTAAGAAAGGGGACACCAGGACAGATCGGATTGGATTGTTAGGGGAAATGATATGTCCCTTATCCCAGTTCTGGGTAATAGGCCATGGAGAATGAGTGCCTTCTCAATGAGGCAGCAGCTAGAGTATAGCCACACTTCATGGCTAGAACAATGAAGAGACTTGCTTGGTTGGACTGGAGATGTTTATTTGGTGGAAGGTAGTAGGAAGTTGTGGATGCTGGAACTGGGGCCCAGAAAAGGAGGCAGTGGTGCTCAGGGACAACAGGAAGGTGTCTGAGCAGGCTGCTGGAAGATGGTGGTTCTCAGGGATTGCTCAGGCTGCAGTAAGGTCATGAGGAGAGAGGCTGGAACTGAGGGACCTTTGGGGACTTTTGGTAGTAAGGACAGTGAGGACATGAACTTGGCTGGTAGTCTGAGAAAGACCATGAGGAACAAAGAGACCCAGGTGGTGCTTATACTTCAAGCAAAATGTAGAGACTAATAGAATAAAGGAAATGGTGGGACGGGGGTTGTCATAGGTAGGAACCTTAGGAGCTAAAGCTAACCTGACGAAAATTTGTGGCCTTTGGGGGCAGGCTCCAGCCTTAAAGGGAGGCAAGGTTTCTGCACAGCCCTTCTCAGGTGGAGGGTGCAACTGTGGGGGCATGCCTGGGCCAGGAATAAAGTCTTCCATCAAAAGAGTTGCTCACATGTTTTGAAATATTTAACTAGAAAAAGAATTTTAGACCATTTTAATACCTTTACATCAGTACCTTTATCTTTAATACCTTTACACTTTAAGATCGAATGATTTTTTACTTAACTTTTGCAAGGGCTCTCTTCTTCCTCTCAACCCCTGCTATCCTTCAGTTAAACCATTTTTTTTCCCTTTTAACTTGCCATTTTAAATCATTTCGAATTGAATGAAATGTGGCAAGAATTGTAAAAACAAACTCGCATGTACCCTTCATCCAGATTTACTGATTATTAGCTTTTTCTAACATTTTACTACATTTACTTATCATCTTTCCATCTCCTCAAATAGATATCCACAGATTAATGCTATTTTTTTTTCTGAAACTTCTGAGTAAGTTGCAGTATAATGCCACTTTCTTTCAATCCTTCAGTGTGTTTCCTAAAAATAAGGGCAGTTGCTTACATAATTATAGGAGGCAATTTAGCATTGATACAGTTGTGTTACCTAATCTATTGTCATTCATATTCTGCCAATTGTTCTCATAGCTTCCATGTCTCTTTAGTCTCTCTCTGTTAATCTGGAAAAGTTTCTCTAATCTTTCTTTTGCCTTTCATGACCTGGACAGTTTTTAAAACTATAGACCTATTATTTTTCTAGACTATACCTAAGTTTGGGTTTCTCTTTTGTTCCTTCATATTTGGATCAGATTATACATTTTTGGCAGAAATATTGCAGGAGTGATCTGTCTTTCTCAGTGCATTCTACTTGGCGACACCAGCTGTTCGTTTGTCCCATCATTGGTGACTGCTTGATAAAGTTTTGGCTTGATTTCTAAACTCTGAAGTTATACTTTTGCTTTGGAATTAGTCTTTTGTGGAGAGACATTTTGAGAACATGTAAGTACAATCTTTCTTCCTTGAAGTCTTTGATTCAGGAGTTTGTGTAGTAGTTGTCCTCCCCCGCCCCTCATCATCTGCAAGGCTTGTGTTCTAAGGCATCTGGTGGATACCTGAAATCAAGAGTATCCAACTCTATGTCCTGTCTTTTGTGATATTCCATTTAATATTTTTGGACTACAGTTAACCTCTGGTTCTGAAACCATGCAAAGTAAAAGTGCAGATAAAAGAGGACTCCTTTTCCCTTTCTAGTGTTTTTAATTTGCTTCTTTTTGTGTTAGAATAGGGTTGCCATGTGCTATTGAGTCCTAAGAATAAAGATTGTTCATTGGTAATTATTGTGTCAGGCTGTGGGCTAACATGACGAGAGGGCTCTGGAAGCCATAAGCTTCCATGAATAGTATTTCTGGTCCAGTGTGGGGCATACAAAAGGAAAATGGTAAATGAAAATCCCAGAACCGAATAATGAGGACTGTGACTAGGGGAGATATCCATTATCAGAGACTGTAGTGCTCAAGAAAGTCCTCCTGAAGAAGAAATGAGGAAGCCAGGACTAATAGGGCTGAGGAAGGTAAGGGCAGAACACCAGTAGCCCACAGGGTGGTGCATTCAGCTTTGGTATGGAACTTCAGAACTGCAAAGAACCTCAGGAGATGTCTCATTTTATAGTCAAGATAACTGAGACTCCTTGTTTTGGTGACTTGTCTAAGAGGCAGAGCTGGGGGATTATAATCACCTCTCCATCTTGTCAGGAAGAAGATTGATATGTGCAGTGAGGTATCCATTTTCCATAGCACTGGGGGCCTGGGAAAGTTAGAGAAATACAGTTAGATCACCCCCTTATTATTATTATTATTTTTAATAACAGGCAGCCATGGGAGCCAGGTGGGAATTAAATATAAGATCATTGCCTTGGAGTTGGCCTGCAGGAAAGAGCAAAGCTGAGGGACTGGCCCCTCCCAGCCAGCTCTGTTTTAGTTTACTAGTATCTACAACCAGCAGGAGAGAGATGTGGGCAAAGGGAGGATGTGGGATATCTCCTCAGCATATTGAAATACTTGCTTCCTCCGTGAGACCATAATGTATTGTTAAATTCTGAAATTTAATCATCTCTGCATCACAAATCATGTACTTCATGATTATCTTAAACGTAATTTTGATCAGCATCCAATGATACACTTGAGGTGCTGGAGATATAAAAGTTGTTGATTAGTTGAATTCTTTGTTAGTTTATGTTATCCCAGGTAACACCTTTTTTGGGGGGTGGGAGTGCACACCCATTCACATGCCTACACACTGTACATGTATGGACATGGGCTTGAGTGAGATGTTCTTATGCTTTTTAAAAATGTTTTCTTTTTTTACATGTTAATATTTTAACTTGAACTTTTCTTTGTGTATTATGGTCAAGCTCCTCACTATCATTGATTTTATAGCTAATTTTTTTGCATTAAAACTTTGGACTTTTTTCTTGTTCTGTGAAATAGTAATTTACTTAGTTCTTAAGCCTGTTTTTTTAATTATTAATAATTTATTGAAGTCTTTGTTTGCTTTTAAGTAAATTGCAGAGGGAGGGGTTTCCTGGGCTATGGGTCTTTGTTTTTCTATGTACAGTTAATACCCCTCTCGTGTGACTGTGTCCATTACGGAGCCATATGTTCCATTTTAGGCTAGAGTGACCTTTCATTTCTGGGATCATAGGGCTCCTCTTGAACTTAGTCTCCTAAGTCTCCAGTGGGCAGTAATCTCTGCTTATTAGCTGGTGGCTTCCATTGCTTCAGCTTCCCCCACACTTAGCTTTTGATCTTCAGTCTTGCAGAGTAGCATTTCCTTTGTAGCTTTTGGAGAATACAAGATTATAAACAGTCTTGTTTGAAAGCGGTTTTTCCCTGGAGGGTGGTTAAGAATCACATAAATCTCTACTTTAAGGTCTAACTATATAATAATAACTAAAGCAAATATTGAAGAGGAATAAGGTACAAAATTATTGGGTTTTCTTTTGTTGTACATTTTAGTTAATGAGATCAGTTTTGCACCTGGTGATATTATGAAAGCCACCATCACCTAAAGTATACAGAACTTTCACAAATTTTTTCAAGCCATTTTCTGACCATTTCCAACCACTTTTGTACAACCATAGTCATTCTTTTTGTTTTTAAGCAGTGGAATCTGTTCAGAGGTAAGAACAAATGCATTCCTTAGATGTAGTAATTTCTCCTTTTTCTTTTATTACAGGTTAAAACTGCTTATAAGTGTGCATGTGTCTTACGAGACACCATAAACCCATACCTTCTGCGGAGAATGAAGTCAGATGTCAAGATGAGCCTTTCTTTGCCAGATAAAAATGAACAGGTCTGTAAATATAGAATTTAACCAAATAGTCCTCAAGCACAGGTGTGCCTGCCCCTTCACTCTGATTTTCCTGTGTATAACAGATGAGGGGGGCTGGGGATGTGGCTCCAGCAGTAGCGTGCTTGCCTAGCATGCGTGCGGCCCGGGTTCAATCCTCAGCACCACATACAAACAAAGATGTTGTGTCTGCCGAAAACTAAAAAATAAATATTAAAATTCTCTCTCTCTCTCTCTAAAATAAATAAATAAGGTTCAGAATGAAACAAAGATTTCCTCAGGAGATTGGTACATGTGGATGTGTGGGTAAAGAGGGATTGCTGTATAGACCTGACATTTCCTTAAAAAAAAAAAAAAAAAAAGATTAGGCCAACAGGTGGGTCCTGTTGCTGCAAGGCAGGCTGGTCCTAATTTGCATGTGACAGGTGTACCTCTGTGGCATCTGCCCTCAGTTAGACTCTTCCTCTGACCCATGGACTTTGTTTTCTCTCTCTTAACACATGGATTTCTTTAACTACTTTTCTTAAAAGCTTCATTTTCCTTAGGCCCCCAGTTCATTCATACTATACATTGTATTAGATGCCAACCATGTTTTCAGCATGATTCAAGTCTCTGGACACATTAGGTAGCAGGGCAAGTTATCATGGTTCTCACATTTATTCTTAATGTAGAGAGAGACTCACAAATAAGTATAGAAGATGGCAGGTGGTTGAGTATGGAGAAAATTGAATCTGGGCGAGGAGATGGGGAGTGCTAGGGGCAAGGGTTTAGGCTTTTTATGAGATAGTCTGAGAAGATCTCTGATCCAGTGGCATTTGAGCAGAGACCTACAGAAGGTATGCGAGTGAGTTGTATGGGAGTTGAAGAAAGACTATTCCTAGGGATAGACTGGAGCAGTGCATTGGTACTCTTGAGGACCAGTAGGGAAGCCAGTGTGACCAAAGGAGCAAGGATAAGAACCACAGGGAGGAAGCCAGACTACTGGCTAGAGGCCAGATGTCAAGGCCTGCTGGTCATGGGGAAGACTGTAGATTTTACTTTTTGCAAGGCGGAAAGTCATAGGATTATACTGAGCAAAGGATTGATGTCATTTGACTTGGTGTCAAAAGAATCGTCCTTCTAAATTCCATCCTGGTATTCTGTAATCTTAAAAGATAATTGTACCTTTGCTTGGCACCTGTAAATGCATTATAGATGTTGGATGTTTAAACTGAATAGGACTTTTGACTTCTGTCATCAAGGCTACTTTTCCTTTCATTCTTGCCTCTTCTCTTCCCACCACACTTATCTCTACTTTGAGCCTTTTATCTTCACATTCTCTAAACATTCTCCCCTTGTAGCCAAGTCCCCAAACCACAGTTGTCTGAGCTGGTTAATTCCAAGTCAGCCACTGCTGTAACATTTTATTTGTCCTTTTTCAGTCTTACTCTCTTCTGTTTCACACCCATGACTTTGGTCATAAACTGGTGCAGTTGATGTCTGACAAGCTTCCCACCCAACAAGACTTCCTGCACCATGCAGTATTTCCCATTGTTGCTGGATTAATTTTGCCCAAGGTTATTCCTATCAACATACCTTCACTGTTCCTTCCCCATCACCTGTTTAAGATCACCAATTTGATTTATTCACACCATTTATTTTCACTATGGAATCTCAACTGTGTTTACTATGCCATAGTCAAACGAATCACTTTCTGCTTTTTCAACATGTGTCTCTCTTCTTTGCTTTTAAGTCCCTCCACCTGAAGATTCTGACACACTCACTCCACCCTCCAAAAAACACACGCAGAGAAGTTTCTTTATTAAGATCCTCCGAAGGGGCTGGAGTTGTGGCTCAGTGGTAGAGTACTTGCCTAGCATGTGTGAGGCACTGGGTTTGATCCTCAGCACTACATAAAAATAAATAAATAAAATAAAGGTATTGTGTCCATCTACAACTAAAAGTATTTAAAAAAAAAACAAGTGTATGATTGCACGAATGGTGTGACTCCACATCAGGTACAACCAAGAAATGAAAAGTAGTGCTCCATTTGTATAAAAAATAATTAATTAAGCAACAACAACAAAAAGATCCTCTTAGTCTCTCTACTAGACTAGAAACTCCTGGAAATCTGACTCTGTATAACCATCTAAAAATCCCTTGTAAAAAATATTACAGTGATTCCTAGGTGCTAAGCACCTGGCAAACTATTGGTTTAGTTTTCTTTGTGTTTTAGAGGAAGGGCTTTTTTTCTGTTGTCCTTGAAATTAAGACTGAAATACAAATGTAAGAAATTGAGAATTGTAAACCCTGAGGTTAATATTTTAGAAAGACTACTCATGCCACAAATGAAAGTTTTTTGAGGGAAAGAAAGTAGAAGCAGAAGGATAAGTTAATGAGATCTTCCAAAATCTTTGGAGAGAAAATGTGGCTTGGACTGGTAGAAAGTTGGGGCTGACAGAAGGTACTTGAAGGGCCCAGTGATGTCCAGATTTCCCCCTTAGGATGCTGGGATATATCTATTGCTATAGAGGCTTCAGAAGGACATGACTGACAGGTTTAATTTATGATGCATGTGAAGTGCCTATGCAAACACTCCCTTGGCCAAGAGGCTGTTGCAAATGAGTCTAGAGGTTTGAGGAGGATCTTAGGATGTAACTAACACCTATGAGCTAGGAACGTGTTAAACAGGGATTGGTTTGCCCGTGGAGTAGGTGGAGAATGAGAAAAGACAAGCAGCCCAGAGGAGCACTAACACCTAAGAAAAGGGTAAAAGAAAAGAAGCTAGCTAGGAAGATAGGGAAGCCCGGGCAGACAGGTAAGAGTTGGGTTAGGAGGAGTGGAGGCCAGGGCTGCAGAGCAACAGGGTGAATGGACTGAACTGGAAAGAACCTGATGATTTTGGCAACTCTGAAGTCATTAGTGACAGACACATAGGAACAAAATCAGTGGCATCAGTCGGGGTGCCGATCAGACTTGCTATCTGCAGAAACACCTAGGTGAAACAGTGGAATGGAAGTAAGGATTATCCCCTATTATTTCAGGAAGTTTCCTCCCTTTTTTAGAGTGTCTAATGGTCATGGTTTTCAGATATGGTGCAAAGGTTGAGGAGTTAACATTGATCCTGTATTGGATTCTGTTCCTCTGGAATAAGGGAAACTAAGGTGAGGTAGATGCAGAAGTAGAAACATTTTAGGGAGTGGAAACTAGGGAATTCTGCCTGATTCTGGTGGCTTCAGGTTTGATTTTTATCATTTTGTTTTTATATGATTGCTTTTAAATAGAAGTTGAGACAACGGTGGCTGAAGTGGAGTAGCTTAGGGAAATGAGTGTTGGCACAACAGTTCTCATACTGCACTGGGCTTTAGGAAGGTACTGGGCAGGGTGTGTGTAGAGGCGTTCTCTGAAACAAGAAGTGGCAAGCTGCCACAGGATGGGAGATGGTGCTAGATATTGACCATAAAAAGTCGAGAAGGCAGGTGGGAGAGTGGATCTGCCTCTGGGAAATTCATATGGCAAGTAGATTGAAAAGGGCCCGTACTGGTGACACAGGGTAGCTGTCTGGCCATACAAGGGTATATGACTGGCCACAGAAGAAAGTCAAGCCATGAGGTGATGGTGGTGAATTTAGAGAAAGAGAAAGGTTGAGAGATAGGAAGTCCATGAACCCAATGGCATGGAGTAATTGACCTCAGAGATGAGTCTAATTAACTTATGAACTTCAGGAAAAGAGGAATTCTAGGTGAGGTGAAGGTCCCTGTCAGGTCTGCTGAGCAGAGTGCACATAAGGGGCATGGAAGGTGGAGTAGTCTGGGCACGTTGAGGCCAGGAATGGTCTGTACTTGGATCCTGAACTTGGCCTGTGAACAGGAAGCTAGTCTTTAGGGACTGTTGGGGTAATAGGGCAGGGACCAGGAGATAGGTAGATACAAAAATGGAGAAATGGTCTTTGTTCAACAATGAGAGGTATCATCATTTTTTGTTGTTTTAGTAAGTAGCTTTGTTAAAATTGCACATGTTGTATTCTTTTGATTAGGGAACCAAATGCTTATGTTGTAATATTTTAATTACTTTATTCTAATAATTTTTTTTAAATTATACTTTCTTTGTTTTTTCCCCCTGTAGGTCTTATTTTGCCGTCTTACAGATGAGCAGCAGAAAGTCTACCAGAATTTCATTGATTCCAAAGAAGTTTACAGGATTCTCAATGGAGAGATGCAGGTCAGCCATAGAACAGAAGCTGTATAACTTGTGTATGAGAAGAGGTGGGGGAGAAAAGGAAACTGGTGTCTAGAATGTGCCAGGATTTCTATATCATGTCATCTCAGTTGATTTGTTGGTGAGCTGTGGGGAAGTATGAAGTCAGATCTAGCATGAAGACAGTAAAGTGCAAAGGAGGGAGGTCACTAGTGGGAGATTGGTAGCCATGAGCTATGGAGCTGGAACCCAATTGTGGGTGTGACCACGAGGCCGATAGTTCCTGTGGCTCTCAAGGGTCTCACCTAGCAGGTGGATGAGTGTCAGGTACATTGCTGGGTTGTCCTGGGAATGATGGCAGAAATTATATATAATGAGAGGATTATGAGGATTCATGATTTTCATCAGTTTCTTAAGGGAGTCCTGAACCCTAATAAACATGAATCACTACCAGGTTAGAAGGAAATATAATTCTGATTTAAATGTCTCTGGTTCTAATTCTCATCATCCCCAGTGTGTGAAAAGAATTTATGGGCTGGGATTGTGGCTCAGCGGTAGAGCGCTCGCCTAGCATGCGCGGGGCCCTGGGTTCGATCCTCAGCACCACATAATAATAAAAAAATAAAGATGTTGTGTCCACTGAAAACGAAAAAATAAACATTAAAAATTTTTCTCTCTCTGTCTCTCTTAAAAAAAAAAAAAAGAATTTATGTCACTCTATTCCTTCCAAAACTCTAAAAACTCCTTCTGTGGTTGTCCAGAATTCAGAAGTAGATAATGTCTTCTTAGAAAAAAACCAAAATAACAACAATGGAAAAACATTATATAACTAAATGAGTGTGCTAGAATTTAGCTCTCTGGAACATGTTACCATGGTGGACTGTCCCTGGGAACTTTTTAAATAAGAATGTGCTGCTGAGATTGTATGCTGGAAGCTAGTATCTAAATGCTATTTAGATGGCATGTGCTTCTGCTGGGTTAGGAATTTTCTGTGACCCTTTGAAAACATTTTGGTGAGAATTTTGACTAAATTTCAAGCCTTGAAGAAGTGAAAGAACACATTAAATTTGTGTATGTTCCATTTCATCTCTACTGCAGTACTGTTGTATTTGAATCCAACCCTGTGGTCTAGTGGAAGAATAGCTAAGTATTGGCATCTGCAATGATGAGGTTTTCAGGGACTGGGGCTCCCATGCAGAATATAGGGAAACAGCCCCAGAGTGCTGGTGTGAGTGGACACATTGAGGAAAAATCATTTTTACACATTTTTTTCTACAGTAACATTGTAACTATAGATAGCACTAAGTGCTCACATACATATATGTGGTTATATGTATGTTAAATAAGTAGGTGCAGAATATAATCAGCATTTAGTCTAAAGCTGTAGGGCTTTAGAGTAAACTGTACCCCTTCTTTGTGTATACTCTGTGAATTTTGTCTTATTGATTTGATATATAAGATTCCTAAGGCTGAGGATGCTCACTCTGCTTGCTGTCATCCTGAGCAAGAGCCATTTCTGCGAGGTGCTTTCAAAACAAGCCTTAGGAATCCAGGTTTAGGAATACAGACCTTTCTGTATCCTTTAATCCATGCTGAGCTTTGAAGTCATGGTCCTTGTCCTGTCCCATTGGACTAGTGATGTGTGTGGATCGAGATGAATGCAGGCAGTGTGGCTGCCTGTGTTCATAGTATCTGAGTGCTTGTGCTTCCAGATTCAGTAGTTTCTTTCATTCTTTTAACTACATCTGTTTCTTACTTCATCAGTTACTGATATATATATAAAGGCTTCTAAATCATTCACATTTCTTCAGCTCTTAAATCTCCCCTTCACTTCTTCATTTGCCTCCAAGATCAAAATGATAGATAGAGAATGCAAGCCACACCTGTAAGTTTCAATTACATTACAAAGGTAAATAGATAAATAGAAAATTAATGTTGATTGTGTATTTTATTTAACCTAATATATCTAAAATATCATTTTAATGTATAATCAAAGTTTCAGAATGATTAATGAGATATGTTACTCTCCTTTTTTTGTATTAAGTTTCTGAAATTGGGCATATATTTTGCATTTGCAGCACATCTCAATTCAGACTAGCCACACTTAATGTGCTTCATAGCCTCATGTGGCTAGTGGCTACTCTGTCAGACAGTGCAGGTCAAAAGGAAAAAAATGAGTTAGAGATGTCTCTTTGGGAGTTTTCACAGTATTTCTGATTTGTTCAGATCTTTTATTATTTGCTTGTGTAACTGTTTGGGGGTTTAAACTGTCATCCCTTTGATTATTCACTTAATTTATTAGCTCTTTTTTTCTTTTTGGTACTGGGGATTAAACCCAGGAGTGCTTAACCACTGAGCCAATTCCCAGCTCTTTTTATTTTTTATCTTGAGATGGGGTCTCCCTAAGTTGTGTAGGGCCTTGCAAAGTTGCTGAGGCTGGCCTTGAATTTGTAATCATACTATCTCAGTTTCCCACACTGCTGGGATTACAGGTGTGTGCCGCCACATCCAGCTGATATCTCTTTTTCTACTTGAGCTCTCATACTAATGAATTTTATTTGAGTCACACTCTGAAATCTGTGAGAAGGCCTGTTCTTGCTGTTTTGTTAATGTCCTCAGGCAGGGGCTGAGGCAGGGGTTAGGGAATACTTACCCCAGCCTCTTATACTTTTCTGTTGCATGAACCTTTCTTCATATCCTTCTCATTTATGCATTTGTCATGCAGATTCATTTTCTTTTTTTAGTTATAGGTGGACACAGTATCTTTATTTTATTTGTATGTGGTGCTGAGGATCGAATCCAGTGCCTCATGCATGCTAGGCAAGTGCTCTTCCTTTGATCCACAACTCCAGCCCCAGATTAATTTTCTGATGTAGTAATAATATACAGGTAAATGAAACTTCAGCCTCTGACTCACACATTCAACTGCAGAATTTCATTGAGTTGCTTAGGAATGTAATATTTAAATATATCTGATAGTTAACATGACTGATTTCTCTAAATTTAGATTGGTATGATATTTCAGATTTTTATTTTTAAGGAGTCAGTTTTTATATAAAGATTACAATGCAGTTAACCACATACCATTTTTTACTAGTAAAGAAAGTAAATTATCAGCAGTTGAATATGACCCCTGTAGACATGTTCAGTCCAATAGAATTGTTTTGTTTCCAGAGAATTGCCCTATCAGGGATGAAGATGAGCAAAAGTTAATGTCTTCCAGCTCCTAATAATGCGATTAGGGAAGAAAATAAGAAGCTAGTAAAGAATGATTTTTTTTAATCCATGTCACGTATGGAATAGCCTCCTTCCCTTCCTTCTTTCCTGAATATTATTTTTACATGGGTAATCTGAATGCACGTATGTTCTTTTGTATCACAGATTTTCTCTGGACTTATAGCTTTAAGAAAAATCTGCAACCACCCTGATCTCTTTTCTGGAGGTCCCAAGAATCTCAGAGGTCTTCCAGATGATGAACTAGAAGAAAATCAGTTTGGATACTGGAAACGTTCTGGGAAAATGATTGTTGTTGAATCTTTGTTGAAAATATGGCAAAAGCAGGGTCAGCGAGTGTTGCTGTTTTCTCAGTCAAGACAGGTGAGTGAAAGAAAGAAGTTCTATCTGTTCTTCATATAAGAAAGAAGTCTGTTCTTCATGCCTTAAAAATAGAATATAATAGCCATGCACAGTTGCACCTGCCTATAATCCCAGTGACTCAGGAGGCCGAGATAGTAAGATCGTAAGTTTGAGGCCAACCTCAGCAACTTAGGATCTCACTTATTTGCTGAGGGTTGTGCTATCTCAAAATGAAAAGGGCTGTGGATATAATTCAGTGGTTAAGCAACCCTGGATTTATTCCCCAATACAAAAAAAAAAGGAGTGGTGGTGGTGGTATATAATAAACTAAAATGCTTCTAAAGCAAGTCTGCCACTGTTGTTAAGATGGCAGCCTGCAGATCTCTTTAGGAGTTTGGATCTTTCTCTAGAAATGGCATCTAGAATTGTTTTGTTGTTGTTGTTGTTGCTGCTTTTTGTACTAGGGATTGAACCCAGTGGTGCTTAACCACTGAGTCACATCCCCAGTCCTTATTTATTTAGAGACAGGGTCTTCCTAAGTTGCTTAGGGCCTTGCTAAGTTTCTGAGACTGGCTTTGAACTCATGATCCTCCTACCTCAGCCTCCTGAACCACTGGGATTACAGGCGTGCACCACTGTACCTGACTAGAGTTGGTTTACAAAAAAAAAAAAAAGATATGATTCTGGTATTAAGGTGAGTTTGGGCCTGAGGTAGGGCTACTTAAAAAGTTTTAAGAACTAATCCCAAGGAAATAGGCCCACTGGGGAAGATATGGCTATTTATACAGGTAGAGAAAGACTCACCAGGATGTATATCTTATTTGCATGCTCTTTTCTTCCCATCAAACAGATGCTACACATACTAGAAGTGTTCCTGAGAAGCCAGAAGTATTCCTATCTCAAGATGGATGGAAGCACTACCATAGCATCAAGACAACCATTGATTACAAAATACAATGAGGTAACAAGGAGTCAGACTGTGCTGCTGTATGTAGAGGGACAAGAGTGAATACATCCACAGCCACCTGAGCAGTGTTTATGTTTCCTAGGACTGGGTAGCTGCTGAAGGGAGATGTTGTGCTTCTGTGCACTTCAGGATCTTTGGGAAGTGGGATATGCATGTACTTAAAAAATGTCCTTCTTGAAAACCCAGTTTTGTTTTTTTTTTTTTAAGATGGACACAATATCTTTATTTTATTTGTATGTGGTGTTGAGGATTGAACCCAGTACCTCACAAGTGTGAGGCAAGCACTCTACTGCTGAGCTATAATGCCAGCCCCGAAAACCCAGTTTTTAAATGTTACTAATATAATTAGTTGAGTAGGAATTATGAGGTGAGCCTCGTTCACCAAAGGTTTCTGGGACGTCACCATTCCTCATACTGGGAACAGCCTAGTAGTCCACATATAGAATATGTGTTTGGCAGAAACAAAAAGCTGTAGCTAGTCTCAGATGTGTCTGCTAAGTGCCATGTGTCTTTCCTGTAGGACACGTCCATCTTCGTGTTTCTTTTGACCACGAGGGTTGGTGGCATAGGAGTCAATCTGACTGGGGCCAACAGAGTCATCATCTACGATCCTGACTGGAACCCAAGCACTGATACACAGGTCTGTCTTTTACTTTAAAACCAAAATGTGTTAGTAGAAATGGAGTTTCTCGGTTAACACTGTGATCATTCTTTGATGTTCTAATTGATTCACAGTCCAAATTTTGGTAGTTTCCTGTTCTTTTACATGAATGAACACATCCTTTAGGGTTCCATAGGCAGAGGAGTTTTCAGCAGTTTACCACAGCATCCATTTCTAGATATGGAGTAAAAAGAGCACAAGCAAAGTTAGGATATTTTTCAGATCTAGATGTCTTGGTTCAGTTTTTGGCAACTGACTGTTCATGTCCTTTAAAAGGCCTTAAGTGTCTGTGGCCTCATTAGTCAAAATTTTATCTCAGAGAGTGAAAGCACTGACCAGCTGTCTTTATTTCTAATCAGCACTTGCAGGGGAAGGGTCCTCATTAAGATCTCTCTTTCTCTGCTGCAGGCCCGAGAGCGAGCATGGAGGATAGGCCAGAAGAAGCAGGTGACTGTGTATAGGCTTCTGATGGCAGGCACAATTGAAGAGAAGATTTACCATCGGTTGGTATAGATGGCTGCCCAAGTTTTGACTATGCACCCAGAGTTTTGAGCAGGGAGTATTTTTAAGTGTTGTTTTAAAAATAAAATAATTGCTATAACTTAAAGGATATAGTTTTTCTTCTATTGTGATTTTTTCTTTGACATAAGCATAGATGGCTTAATGGTGAGTTTTCAAAAATGTCTTCAAATTTGATCATCATTGTACCTTATTCTACTTCAAAGTCCACTTATGTGTAAACTTGATAATCTTATCTGAGAGAACTGTTTCTGCCTGCTATAGTATTCCCCTTTTGGAGGTGGGAGTTTGTGGGATTAAACTCAGGGGCACTTGACCACTGAGCCACATCCCCAGCCCTATTTTGAATTTTTATTTAGAGACAGGGTCTCACTGAATTGCTTAATGCCTCACTTTTTCTGAGGCTGGTTTTGAACTTCCAATCCTCCTGTCTCAGCCTTTCGAGGCGCTAGAATTAAAGGCGTGTGCCACCGTGCCCTGCAATATTCCACTTTCTTTTAGGAAAATTGTGAAAAGTGGCAGAGTTGAAGTTAACATTGGCATTTTCACATGCCTTTCAGGTGTGATCAGCATAGTCTTGGGCTCAGATGCCTCTTGGAGAGAGGTTGATGGGACATCTGTTTTTTCCTCTATCTTTCTTTAGAATGCAGGGGTTTTCAGCAGTGATAAATTCAGCAGTCCAGACTTTGCCACCCACTGGAGAGATCATTCTTATGTGCTATACCCTAGTTGCTAAGGGGAAGCTACTACTCTCCACTGTGCCCTGGATTATTCCTAGAATGTTCCATGTCCTTAAGTCCTGTTGTGGAGGATTGGAGATGAGTTGGATTTTGTGAGAAGAGAGGTTTAACTTGGGGGAACAGTGCTGCTTTCTTGAGATGACTGTAAGAGGGACAATGGTATGGGGCTTTGGCACAGAGTGTGGATCAGCAAGTGGGAACTGACAGGGCAGGTCAGAGTCAGGACTTTGCAAAACCCAGGTCAGTTTCCTGAACCCATCATAGGAAGGTCAGAGCAGGGCAGGAGATGGGACCTTTGGTCCATGAATCAGGGAGACCCTTGCAGCTTTGAGAAGCTTTTAGCTGCATGAATGTGTATGAAAAATATTTTTTGAAATGTTTTAAGGTTGTAAAAGCTCATTTTAATAAGGTATTCTTTCAAATCTAAATTCTATGAAACATGGAAGATCAACTGATATATACATCCAGAACTATAATTTTATAAGACCGAAAGTTTTGGGGATGATTTAGGCATTTATACAGATGCAGTTATATCTCATGTTGTTTTATAACTGAAGTTTTGAAGTGTATCTAACATTATTTTATACTAGCATAATTTTTATCTTTATAGACAAATCTTCAAGCAGTTTTTGACAAACAGAGTACTAAAAGATCCAAAACAAAGGCGGTTCTTCAAATCGAATGATCTTTATGAGCTGTTTACTCTGACTAGTCCTGATGCATCACAGAGCACTGAAACTAGTGCTATTTTTGCAGGTATTACATAAAGTCATTTAATTCAGAATTATCAATTTTATATGAATAATGTAATGTAACATTAGTGTTGTTTTCCCTCTTTAAAGGAACTGGTTCAGATGTTCAGACACCCAAAAGCCATTTAAAAAAAAAGATTCCATCAGCCTTTGGAACAGATAGTGGAATTCCAAAATGCAGAAAATTTCCTGATTCTGATACATCTATAAACGATGCCTTATTGACTGAAGAGAAATCTAAGGCAACAGAAACTGAAGGAAATACAGAAACTTCTACTGAAAGCAATCCTTTAAAAAGTAACCCTCATAGAAATGGGAACGTAACTAGCAGTGATGGGCTTGGAGAAGAGACAAAAGCAGTATCTGGACGGGAGGAGCCAATAGTGATTAGTGGAAATAGGGACTGTTCAGATTCTGCAAGCATTGGTGGAAAATCCCAGCCATCTGGTGAAGAAAGCACCGATGAAAAGCAAAGTCCTTCTTATAAAGGAGAAAGCTCCCAGGTTCAGTCAGAACGTCTTAGGAAGAATGAACAAATTGAAAGTCATTTTTATAAGCACAAGTCAAAAACAAAACATCATAATGTGTCAGAAGAAGAGATCTCAGAAAAACATCTGCGGCAGCAGCCAAAGGCCAAAAACTCTAAGCATTGTAAAGATGCCAAGTTTGAAGGAATTCGAGTCCCACACCTGGTGAAGAAAAGGCAGTACCACAAACGAGACACTGAGCCTGCGAGTGAGGCCCAGGAACGGAGCAGTGATGATTATGTTTTGGAAAAGCTTTTCAAAAAATCAGGTAATACTTTAGATGCATTTACCAACAGGTGCTAGGAACAGAGAACAAGAAGCCATTTTTAGTGTGGCATCCTTTAACTGATGATACAGAGGGGGGTCATAACCAGAGATGTTTTCCTTCTAAAATTTAGATTTCAATTGTATTGACATTCTGAAAATTATATTTACCCCCTTTTCTGAAGAACTGGAGGAGTTTGAAACTTTGGGAAACAAATAACCACTCACAGGCAAGATGTAATGTTTTAAATAGACATGTTCTGTCTGAACTTTAATAGGCAATTTCCCAGCCAACTACATAGGGTCCTTTCCATACTTGTGATTCTTCTTTTAGACTGAGAAGTATTAATCATCATTCTCAGCAGCTTGACTTACTTTATCAATCCTAGAATACATAGTAGCATTAGAATTCCCAACCTTTACCCCCACAAAAGACAACCATACTAACTAGAGTTCAATATTTTTTTATATTTCTTTTTGTCTTTGGTCTGGAGTTTTTAGTCCACACAATATGGTCAAAAGTTTCTTAGTTCCTCTTTTTCCTCTCCTTTCTCTCTGTGTCACAGTTGATAACACAGGTTAGTTTATTTCTGCTTTTATCCATTTTAGGGTCCCCCTATCCTTGTTTATTTTACTTTTTGAATATATAATACATTAATATAAAGTTATAAAGGTCAAAACTATACAAATAGATATATTCAAAGAATACCTTCACCTACATTCCATCACTTCCTCCCCAGTTATATGTGTTTATACCTCTTCTTTCCTGTGTTTCTTTGTGTCAAAATATATAGCACATATTAGTCTGATACAAACGGTACCTCCTATAATATCTTATATTAACCTTTTAAAAACTGTCATACATCCTGACAGTCACTCTGTATTTATTAATAGAAAGCTTCCTACTTTTTTATTGCTATTATGTGGACATACCATAGTTTATTCACATTTGAGCATTTAGATTATTAATACCTTTTTTAAAATCTTCACTTTGCAGTAATCTTGTGTTCATGTTATGGTTTGCATCTGGAAATGTCCCCCCCGAGAAGTTTTCATGTTAGGCAACGCAGCAGTGTTCAGAGGTGAAAAGATTGGATTATGTGGGCTGTAATCTTATCGATGAATAAATCCATTGATAACTGAACTATTGGGTGGTATTAATAGGCAGGTAGAGCATGGCTGGGGGAAGTAGGTCATGGGGTATGTGTCCTTGGACTGTGACTCTCTGTGGATCTTTACTCTTCTTTTTGCTGCCACAAGCTAAGCAGCTTTCCTCTGCCATGATATTTTTGCCTTGAAGCCAGCTATGACCTCTGAAACCATGAACCAAAGTAAACTTTTCCTCCTCTAAGTTATTCTTGTCATATATTTTGGTCACAGTGATAAAAAGCTGGCTAGTATAACCTATATACTTTAGTACTGTGTTAGAGATAAAATTTTCAGAGAAAATTCCTGAAAGTGAGATTGCTGCATCAAAAGGTAATATATATATATATATATATATATATATATATATATATATATATATACGCGCGCGCGCGTGTGTGTGTGTGTGTGTATGTATATGTATATGTATGTATATGTTTTTTTTTGTTCTTTGGAGATAATGTCCTTTTCCCTTTCATAAGGTTTATATCAAATTGAATTGTCACCAATAATGTATAAGTGTCTGTCCCAGACCCTTGCTAAGAGAGTTTGCTCTATGTTTAACTTTGGCTATCTAAAATTTGAAGAATGATACCTTGTTTTATTTCACTGAGTGAAGTTGAACAACATTTATAGAACCATTTATATCTTATTCCTTTTCTTTTTTTTTAAATTTCCATGAGAATTGTTTGTTTATGACTTCTGCCTGTTTTCTAAATCAGTTTTTTGGCCTTTGTTCCCCTTTAAGTTTTTTTTGTTGTTGTTTTAATAAATTCAAACATTCCTATTTATTGATTTATTTATCATATATGTTGCATATATTTTCTCAATTTGTCTTGTTTTACTTATAATGATTTTATTGATGAAAATGTTATCTAGAAAAATATACAGGGCTGTGGATATAGCTGAGTGGTAGAACACTTGTCTAGCATGTGCAAGGATCTGTGTTTGATCTCCAGCCCCTTGAAAAACAAAACAAAAAAAAGGTAATTCAAATTTATCAGTCTTACCTGTTATTTATTTTGAGTCATGGATAACAAAAACATTTTCTACACTTAGATAATAATGGAATTCACCACATTTTCTTGAACTTGTATCATGTTTCACCACATTACTTATATGACTTTTTTTTCTACATTTAAGTCTGTCTAATCCACTTGGATTAAGTAACTCCTTACCTTTTCCAGCATCGTTTATTTAAAATCTGTTTTTCTCCAGTGACTTAAGATGCCACCTTTATCATATAGAGCATTTCTATATCCTTTGTAGATTTGGTGACTAATACCCTGCTTTATTTATTCCTGCCTTGGCAACACACTTGGAATTAAGAGTGTTCTACTGTTTGTCTGCTGTCAGTTAAGGCATAGCTTTCTGGTGTTTTCCTAGCTGATTGTGCTTGTTTGTTTTTTCATATGTCAGAATCAGTTTGTCTAGCTTCATAAAAGCAGTTCTTGGTGTTTTTATTGGATTTACACTAAATGTATAAATTAGCACAGGGAGGAAGGTTATAAAGTCATTCCAGTCAAAAGCAAGGGATGTCTTTCCATTTTTTCAGGCCTAACGTGTCCTCCCAGGCATGTTTTAAAGTTTTCTCGCATGTAATGGCTTTACATGTATCTTGGGTTTATTCCTGTTTTATGTTCTTTGTTATTGTAATATGGAGCTTTTCCCACCATTGTGTTCTTTTTTTAAAAAAAAAATCACCTGTATGCAAGTTGGAAAACGAAACAAAATAGACAATTTCTAAGGAAAACAGACCAGCAACATAGAAGAAATAGAGAAAGTTATCAATGATAAACATAGCACAAAGAATATAGATCAATATCATTTATGAACATCAATAAAAATTACTAAGTACAATACTAGGGAATAAAATTTTAGAAATTCTATTGTTTGTGAATAGAATAGGAAGCTTATAGATTTCCGTATATTAATTTTTATGTTTCATTCTTTTCTGAGTTATTGTTAAAGTTTTGTCATTGATATTCTAGGATTGTCTAGATGGGTTGTCATTAAAAACTTCAAAAAGAAGGATCGGGGACATAACTCAGTGGTAGGGCACTTGTCTAGCATGCACGAGGCCCTAGGTTCCATCCCCAGCACTGGAAAAAAAAATAAAGGAAAAAAACTGCAAAAAGAAAATTTTACTTTTTCATTTTATGTCTTTAATTGATTTTGCTTTTTTTTTTTTTTTTAATTGCCTGGCTAGTAACTCAATTAAAATGGAAAGTGAATACTGGAGATAATATACATCTTTCCATTCTCAGTGGAAATAACTTCTATCGTTTACCCATGAAGTAAGATTCTGGTGTTATGACTAAGGTATATGTTTTATTATATTAAGGAAATATCATCACTTCCCAATTTTGGGGGTTTTCTTCTTGCATGGATGTTGAATTTTGTCAAAGGCATTTGCAGCATCTATAGAAATCTATGGATAATACTGAAACCACCAGCATCATAATATGGTTTATTAAATAATGGGATTCTTAATCTTGAACCAACCTTGATTTCTAGAATGACTCCCCACTTGGTCATAGAGTATAATTTTCTGACTGCTATGGGGTTCTATTTCCTAGTATTGTACTTAGTATTTTTTATTGATGTTCATAAATGATATGGATCTATATTCTTTGTGCTATGTTTATCATTGATAACTTTCTCTATTTCTTCTATGTTACTGGTCTATTTTCCTTAGAAATTGTCTATTTTGTTTAGTTTTCCAACTTGCATAGAGGTGATTTTTTTAAAATTCACTTTGTTCCATGATAATTTCTCCCTTTTTATTTATAATTCTGTAAATTTATTTTTCCTTTTATTTCCCTTGATTAAGCCATGCTAGTTAGTTGTCTATTTTGTATTATTTTTCAATAAACTAGGATTTTGATTTATTAAACTGGATCTGTGGTTGTTCTCTACCTTATTTTCGCTTTTTTCTTTATTACTTTCTTCCTGGTATTTTTGTTTTTATTGTATTTTGGTTGGAAGTTTTGTTTTATTTTTGTATAGGTTTTTTTTTCTTTTTGTAACTTGTACTTGGAAATTTAATTCACTTTTTATTCTTTATTGCTATAAGTGTCAAGACTATGAAATTGTCCACTGATCACTGTATTAAGTTTGTCTCAGTGATTCTGATACATAGCATTTTTATGATTGTTATTTTTTAGAAATTCTATAATTCTGGTTTATATTTTCTCCTCATTGAAGAATTTATTAATAGGTTTTTGCTTTTCTTCTGTATAGCAGGGGAAAGGGTAAATATTAAAGTTGAGATTAAAGCATTTTCCTTAGTTATTTTAAAAGAGGGATAATTAATAACTCTCCCCCTTAGGGTAATAGTGAGTGTGAATAGAAGTGGTTTTTGTGAAGTTCCTGAGTTCTAACAGCCACTTCGCAAATAGCAGCTAAAGATGTTCTTTTCATCTCCTACAACCCTAGACTATTATAGAGGAAAATAGTATCCTGTTCAATGAACTGAAATGTGACTCTCGCTGTTTTCTTTGTTCTTATCAGTGGGTGTGCACAGCGTGGTGAAGCACGATGCAATCATAGATGGAGCCAGCCCGGATTATGTCCTGGTAGAGGCAGAAGCCAACCGAGTAGCCCAAGACGCCTTGAAAGCCCTGAGGCTCTCTCGACAAAGGTGTCTTGGGGCAATGTCTGGTATCCCCACCTGGACTGGCCTCAGGGGGACTTCAGGTGCACCAGCAGGAATAAAGTAAGAGATTGCTCCCTGCCATGTTTACAAGCAGGACAAACAGTGAAGACTAGCAGAAAAGTCAGGGCAGGTGAACATGCTCACCTGCTTGCTTATCTGCAGTAATAGGAAATCTCTCAGGGAAGCATTGTATACATCAGAGTGGGTGATTTGGGAAATACAATGGTCTTACCTTCTTCCTCACTTTCATTCCCTGCTTTCTAAAGCTGAATTTCAGGAGAAGTAGTAATCAGTTTTATTTGAAAGATGGTAAAGTTAAAAATAGTACAAAAGGGTTGGGGTTGTGGCTCAGTGGTAGAGTGCTCACCTAGCATGTGTGAGGCTTTGGGTTTGATCCTCAGCACCACATAAAAATAAAGGTATTGTGTCCATATACAACTAAAAAAATTTTTTTATATAGTGCAAGATTCAGAATAATGATTAAACTTTAATAAGATGATTAGCCAACTTACACCAATCAGTAATTACTATGCTCTTCAGTTTGCCATTTTTAGAATAACTTTCCTACCTATAATGTGAATGTGATTGCTTTTGTGTGCTGAATGAGGATACTGAGTGGGTCTCATTCCAAGATGCATCAGTTACTTCCCAGTAGAACAAAGTGGAATAATCAAAGCAGACAGGTTGAAAACCAAAAATGACATGCTTTTGAAACTATAACCTTGATGATGATAAATTTCCAGAACAAATTTAGCTGTTAAAGAAGTGTTTTGATCATCACATCACAAAAACTAACATTTTATCTACTGTGATTCTTTTTCTTATTTAGGAGTAGATTTGGTCAGAAAAAGAACTCTAACCTCTCTGTGCAGCATCCTTCAACATCTCCAACAGATAAATGCCAGGTAATAAGATAGCATGTTTGCTTTTAATGTGGGGGAGTTTCTTGATTGAATTGCCAGGAAAATTTCACCAAATTCTGGATATGAAGATGGTTATTGCCCTCAGAAAGTTAATACAGGGAAAAAAGTATTGCTGGGAAGATAGCCTGGAGGGAACATGCCTAGAGACCACCGTCCTCTAGAATGAAGCTACCAAAAACTACCTTGAGTGTTGGAGTTTATATTGACTATGTGCTTATCTCTCCCTGTTCTGGAGCACACCATATGCCCTAAGCACTTCAGTAAGAGGAAAACTGGGTCAAACTGCACCATTCAGCATTCTTTGTCTTTCTGCGTTAATGAGAAAACTTAAAAATTCCCAGGTTCAGATTCCAATTTTAGATTAGTATAAACACATTTAGGAATAGAGAACCTTTCTGACTGTCTGTTTTGTGCTTTTGAGTATTAGTTTGAGGCCCCTTCCAAGTTAGTTTTTATTGTTTTAGGGAAATTCACATGAGTTATAACATAGTATCACGGGAGAAGACATGTCTCCAAAGAATCCAAGGAGTTCCCAAAGAGAACTTGACTCAGGACCACCAGGGTTCTTGGCATATGTGATAGAAAAGAATTTGCAATACACGCCAAAGGCACAAAGGTTTATTTAAGAAAGTAGATAGAAATTCAAGGAAGAATGGGGCACTCTCAAAAGAGATGCCTTTGGGATAAAGCAAGGAATACACATTCAAGAGAAAATGCAGGAAATCTTTAGAGGGAGAGACGGCAATCCCTTGGTGTGGGATGTTAATATTCATAGAGGGCTGGTGCTAGATACTGGATTAGAAGTGGATCCAGGTTGGAGCTACACAATTTGTACCAGTTTTCCCCGCACTTGCACATTGCCCTTATGTTACAAGGGCATGGATTCAGGGGCTTGCCAACCAGGAGTTTGCAATTATTCATGGTTTCTTTCTGCATTTCAGTGGTATTTGGACTTGTCTTTTGGCACTCAGTATCTCTCCCTTTATTCCCTAATTCCTATCTCTGTAGGAAAGAGTGAGAAGGCTTAAAAGTGAAGAAAAAGTGTAGCTGTGATATTGCTGCTTATCTCACTGAGTTTCAGTCAGGGTGCATGAGAAAATAAGAACAGAATAAGACTCCTAGCCACAGAAAGTGTCTCCAGGAAGCCTCCTGGGAGCAGTGCCTGAAGGACAGCCCTTCCACCCTGCCTCCCTCTGCTCTTGTATGCAGAGTGGAAACCCATGGAGTGGCCTACTGTTTCTTCCTTTTTATTTATTTATACACACACACACACACACACATAAAAAATTAGTTATGCATGACAGTAGAATGCACTTTGACATATCATACATAAATGGAGTATAATTTCTCATTCTTCTGGTTGTACATGATGTAGAATTACACCAGTCATGTAGTCAGTCATATATGTACATAGGGTAATAATGCCTGATTCATTCTATTGTCCTTCCTACCCTATACCCTCTCCCCTCCCTACACTCCCCTCTATCTAAAGTAACTCTATTCTTCCCTAGCCCTGCCCTGTATTGTGAATTGGCATCTGCATGTCAGAGATTCATTCAGCCTTTGGTTTTTTGGGATTCGCTTATTTGGCTTTGCATGATATTCTCCAGCTCCATCCATTTACTGGCAAATGCTATAATTTCATTCTTTAAGGCTGAGTAATATTCCATTATGTATATATTTGACATTTTCTTTATCCATTCCTATGCTGAAGGACACCTAGGTTGGTTCCATTGTTTAGCTATTGTGAATTGAGCTGCTATAAACATTGATGTGGCTGCATCACTATAGAATGCTGATTTTAAGTCCTTTGGGTATACACCGAGGAGAGGAATAGCTGGGTCAAATAGTGGTTCCATTCCAAGTTTTCTGAGGAATCTCCATACTGCTTTCCATAATGGTTGCACCAATTTGCTGTCCTAGTTTTAGGAAATATTCTTTAACTGTGTATGGACTCAACTGTCTGGCTTACTTCCTTTCCTTTGGTGTTATGTGGAGTTTCATTCTTTCCACCATTACCTCACCACCTGGCACCTGAATTATTTTTCAATCCCCCACAGCCTTTGGGGAACGAAGTAGGGACATAATCTAGAATTCCACCTATCAATGCTCTTTTTCCTGCAGGATGGTGTCATGAAAAAGGAGGGAAAAGATCATGGCCCTGATCACTTCAGTGGAAAATTAGAAGATTCAGAGTCTTCTTCTGGGGCTCTTGCTTCCTCCTCACTCTTGGCCAGAATGAGAGCGAGAAATCACCTAATTCTCCCAGAGCGGTTAGAGAGTGAAAGTGGACACCTGCCAGAGGCTTCTGCCTCTCAGGCGCTCACCACAGAACATGATGACCTGCTGGTGGAAATGAGGAACTTCATAGCTTTTCAGGCCCACATTGACGGCCAGGCCAGCACTCAGGAGATTCTACAGGAATTTGAGTCCAAGCTATCAGCGTCACAGTCTTGTGTCTTTCGGGAACTATTGAGAAATCTGTGCACTTTTCATAGAACTCCTCGAGGTGAAGGAATTTGGAAACTCAAGCCAGAGTACTGCTAAACAACACTAAATTTTCAGTCATGTCTTCTACTGGAAGTGTATGATTACCAACTTGTGCTTAATAATCATATGTTTGTCAAGGAAAGTTGGCTGCCCCTATGTTTACTTTAAAATGGCATCTACCTCATAACTAAAACTTTAAAGAAAAAACTCTTCTCCAAAACTGAAAAGTTTTAATAATGCTATTAGAAGAAAAATACTTGGATGGATTGTTTTTTTCCATTATGAATTGTGTTCTAAAATCAGGGACTTAACAGTTGCTTCTTGGAGCACATTTGTTCCTTTACCCAAAAGATGGTGTCAGGGAGCATATAACTATTCATTTAGAAGTTTACAGAATAGAGCTGCGTGCTGTGGTGCACTCCTATAATCCAGTGACTCAGGAGGCTGAGACAAGAGAATCTCAGGTTGAAGGCTACCATCAGCAACTTAGCGAGACCCTTTTTACTTTAAAGTAAAAAGTAAGAAGGGTTGGAGATGTTTCTCACTAGTAAAGCTCCCTGGGTTGGATTCCCAGTACTCAAAAAAAGAAGAAAAAGAAGAAGTTGTAGAATAGAAGTCTCAATTCTTTTTATTGGTGCTAAAAACATGTCTTACATTTAGTCAGCCTATTCAGTAAATTAGTTTATCAATATCTGATAACAGTATTTTGATGCATAATTTTTAAATGTTTAAATTTATCATCTGCCATACATGAAAAGATAATATTTCAAATTTACATCATATTAATTGCCTTTAAACAATCCTTCTTGAAAAAATATAATTAAATTTGCAGGGTTTTTCCCCCTTTTTTGGAAGCTGGGGAGATTTAATCCAGAGCCTCATACATGCTAAGCATGCACTGTACCTCTGAGCGACATCTCTAGTCGGAGAGCGTTTTTATTAGTAAAGCATGAAAGCCTGGTAATAAATAATAAAGCAGATATTTGTCGAAAGTTTTAGTGTACTCATTTTACTCTGGCTTTAAGCAAAACATACATTTTCCTCCCTATTCTCACTATTGGTTTTAGGAAAATAAAATGTGTTATCATAAAAAAAAAAAAAAAGGAATATCCAAGAAAAACCAAAAGTACATGCATGAAAGAACACATGAGTGCTACACTGTACTACACTGTACAGGACCACGGCCAGGCATCCCTTCCTCACCATGAGGTGACCACCCTGCAGTGCTCTCTTTGTCCTCTTGCTGGCTGGTGTCTGAAGATCTGTTGTTTCATTTGTTGAGCTTGGTTTGCTGAGGGCACTGATTGTTGTAGATGTGACCACAGTTGTCTAAGTCATCTTCTTTCTAGTGGCATTCACCTCTTGTGCTGACATTCACTGTGATACTCTCCTGTTTTAATGGTTTGGTTTTCAGCTAATTGTGTACTTAGAGACTGTTAGAGTCTGTTATATTTATGGCTCTGTGATCGTGTAACCTTAATCCTCAGTTTATTTTCTTAGCTTTGCTTTTCTTGTTTACTTCTCATAGTTTTTTTTTTTTTATCATTTCAAGTCTTGTTTTCTCAAGTTCATTGCATTCCTTAAATTTCTTCTAAGCCATCACAGTGCATTTTTTTCTTGGATGTGTTTTCTGCAACTTGCTATTTTTTTCTTTGTCATTTCTTTGTATTTTGCTTGCCTCCCTCCCATGCGGTATTCTTAAATCTTAAACTCATGCTTAAGTGAACAGCTTTTCCCTGCAACACAGAGGGGAGGGTTCTGTGCAGGTGGTGCCCCTGCCAGGATGCATGTGGCTTTGGTTGGGGAACCCTGGTTTGAGACTTGCTGTTCTTTCTTTAGATAGCTTAGGCCAGGGTTCCCTTCCCTTAGCAGAGTTATATTCCTATCAGGATTTTCTGCTTCTTTTCTTGGATTCTGGCTTATTCATTTTGTTTGCTTTTAGTTTGATTCATATATATATTCATATATATTCATTTTGCTATTATTATCTAGAAGTCTTAGAAGGGATTTCTAAACCACTCAATAAATCCTAAAGAGAATCAAAACGTGTGACTGTTTATGGGGTACATTTTTATTTTTGTAATCATTAGCATATAAGAAAATTGTATCTCCCCCTCCTGGCTTGTTCTCAGGGTAAAATACTGATCTGGTTCACTAGTGAGGAGCATTTGGACATTTTCCTTATAGAGTCTGAATCTAAATTATATTGAGCTAGAGAAGTTGTAGCCTTCTCTTTGAGCAAGAAATAAAAGTATGATGCAATAAGTGCAAGATAGTCCTCTTTCCGGTTCTGCTGCTGACAAGCCATGGTCTTGGGTAGGTTGTGTACCTGTGATCTATAAACATGGTCTTTATGCCTCCGGGGTGAAGGGCATTGAAGAACAGTGCTCTAAATGGAAAGGTTTTAACAATATAGAGTAACTTATTCATTTAGATGAAAGTTAATTTTTGGAACATGAAGTTCTTTGTACAATGTGAATAGATTTAATGTATTGAATGTATTATATTAATACAAATAAAGGACTTGAATTTTTTGTCAAGTTTTTAAAATTCCTTAGTTACTATGTGAATGTACCGTCACTGTTAAAAAATTTCAAGCAATACGCATGCTATCTATCTTCCCACCCATGCACCAATCTTGCTTCTGTTCCAGAGCTAAATTCTATATTTGGAATGTATATAGTTCCTATACAGATATGTGTGTGTGTTCTTCTAGGCTGTTTTCCACACATTTATGAAACAAGTAGCAAAAATTTGTTGCCATAATGTGTGTATTTCCCCTTTCTTCCTTTAATAAAATTCCTGAACTTTACTTGGACACATGGTTGTTCAGCTAATGATTATACTTCTCAACCTCTGTGATAGTTGAGTATGGCCACATATTGAAGTTTGGGGCTGTGGGATGTAAAACTTCCAGATAGGGTCTTCAGTAAGGAATTGGAGTGTATACTCTTCTTCATATTCCCTTCTTGCTGGTGGGAATGCCCATTGGGAGCTTCGGCATGCCCTGGCATCTCCAAAGAGGTTATGTGTTGAGGATGAAGAAATTGATCTGCCAGTATTGAACTGTGCTCTTTGCTCTGTTACTTAAGAGTAAAATACACTACTGACTTATTTAAACCATTGTATTTTGGAGTTCCTATTATAGGAGCTAATTTATTACATGTAATTTACATTAATGGAATTATATCATCCTTATTGCATCTAAAATTAACATTATATACAGACATCTTCTCATTCTTACAGCTATACTTTCATGGAATTGCTAGGTTAAAAATAATAACAGTTTAAAAAGTTTTTTAGTTGTGAATGGACATTTATTTATTTATATGTGGTGCTGAGAATTTAACCCAGTACCTCACACATTCCAGGCAAGCGCTCTACCACTGAGCCACAACCCCAGCCCTCATTTTAATATTTTGCAATGAATGTAGTGAACTTATTTCCTCCAATTCACAATACATTGAAAGGACCTGTTTCTCCACACCCATGGCAGCAGGAGGTAGACAGTCTCAGGCTCAGTAGGTTTTTGTGAAAATCTTGTGGTTGAAAATAACCTTGGTTTAACTTGAATATTCCTGATTACCATAAAACCAAACATTTCTATGTTTATTGATTATTTGTAGATCTCTGCTGGGAGCCATTAGCCAAGTAGGTATGACAATTTCCTTGCCAGCGTACCCCATGTTGCAGTGACATTGAATGTAGGTGACCTTGTTCAAGGACCAAGGCGGATTAGGGCGTTCCCGGTTTAGGTTCCAGGTTTAAGGTTTAAGATTATTCCTGCTGGGAATAGGGCGTATCCTGCTGCCTGAGTTCCCCTTGAGTTCTCACGGGATTCAGACAGTATATTTTGGAGATAGAAGCCCAGTGGAGGTGGATTTGGGCAGAGAACTTGGATTTCCCCAGAACGTGATTGTAGACGGCTGGTGTGAATTCAGGAATAAAGAGTTGCTGTTTGAATCTACAAGCTGTGTGGTGGCTCGTGATTGTGTGCCCAGCCAGACTGCGGCATTTGTGCCCAGCCAGACTGTGGCAGATCTCTGTTATATCATGCCTGTTCATGTCATATTTGCCTGGGTTTTTATGAGTTATTAAATTTTTTAGGGTTGTTCCACACAGAAATAAAAGGCAGTTTTCACAGCTATTAATGAATAGTCTATTATTTTTTCTGACCAGTTAAAATCCCAAGTTTTAACTCATCATATATTATGTCATTTACTTCTAGAAATGTATCTAGATGTCTATTTTACCACACTCTTCACACTGTCATTTGGTTTTGCGCCATATTTTGCAGCTTGTGGACAAGTCCCACTTCCTTTTTTACTCTCTTTGGTGTCTTGTGCATTTTCAGTTCCAAATTAATTGTACAATCAGCTTATTAAGTTCCACTAAAATTGTGTTATTCTTTTGATTGGGATTGTATTACTTTATTAGTTTAAGGATAATAGACTTTTTCATAAGTAATATAATTTTCCCCATTAGTTTCATGATGGGCCTCATTTTAAGTCCTTTATATTCTTGGATAAAATTTTAATAACTGTTCAAAATCTTTTATAGTTCATATTAGGCTTACCACTGGGTATTTTATAGATTTTTGGGGTTGGAGATCTTTTCTTTTTTACTTTTACATAAGGAGATTAAAACATCCATAGATCTACTTTTTGAGTTTTATTATTCAGGAGTTTTAAAATTTTAAATATAGTGAATTTAGTCTTCCCATGTCTTGTCTCCTTATTTAAGAAGCTGTTCCCTAACCTGGTTTCCTAAAAAGTTCATCCTTTTCCTCCTAATATATAAAATCATCTTTACATTATATACCACTTCCATATAATTAATGGGAAAGTTTCTGGGTTGTTTATTCTGTTAAACTGATAAAATTGTATAGATCTTCATCTTTAATGTCACTCTTAGTGTGGTGAAGTACACAGTTAAATTTTCCAACTTCAAAACATCCCTTAGACTTCCATTTCCAAAATGTCAGTGTGACGGGCCCTGTAGACCCATGAATCAAACATAATCAGTGAAATTTGTAAAAACATATATGATGTTTTTGGAAATTGTCTTAAAATTATATGTGAATGAAGTAATACTTATTCACGAAAACCTACTAAACCTTGGTAAGAACAGTGAGTCTATGATGTTTGAGATACAACATTTCCCTCACCTAGAAGCTCCAGGTATGTATTTCAAGAAAATGGAGCTCCCTCTCAGCTCCCAGTCAAGGGATAAAGTATCTCATTGGGAGGGGTAGGCTGTCAGCATTTCTCCAACTCCCCTAGCTCCAAGTTGTAGGAGCTAAATTAATGGAGTTTAAAACTATCATAAAAAATGCAGTAGGGAAGTCAACAGTAGATTTGAATTAGTAGGAGAAATATTCCATCACCTAGAAGATTGACAGATTATGCTATCCAAAGAATAGGAAAAAGCAGAAAAATGAACACAGCCTTAGAGAAATGTGAGACGTCACCAAGTACACTATTAAGACACAGTTAAATGTATATGTAATGGATTTTTCAAGAATAAGAGGGAAAGAAGAAAAAATAAATAATGACTGTAAACTCCCTGAATTTACTGAAAAACATCCAGGAAGGTCAGTGACCTTGAAGCATAGTAAATGCAAAGGGACCCACAGACATATCATAGTAAAATGCTGAACTCAAACAGAAAAATTTGAGCAGTAAACAGAAAGTGGAAAGGCAACTTCAGTAAGAATGAGAGCTGACCTCTCAGAGGGTAGAAAAAAATGGAGGCCAGAGGCAGGGATGGCATTCAAAGTGCTCTAGAGAGGGGATAAAAGAAAAAGTCAACAAAGAATCCTATCAAGAATGAGGGCTCAGGGGTATAAATCAATGATATAAAGCATTTGTCTAGCATGAGCAAGGCCCTGGGTTTGAACACCAGCACTGCAAAAAACAAAAATAAGAAAAAAACCTACAAGAATTAAAGTTTTTCTCAGATAAACAAAAATAAATAAAAATTGTTGCTAATGGATCTTTTAAACAAGAAATACCCAAATTTGGGTTGAGAATATAGCTCAGTTGGTAGAGTGCTTGCTTATCAGACAAAATCAAATTTCAAACAAAATGTTATCAGAGAGAGAGAGAATGCTAAAAGGGTCAATCCATCAGGAAGATATAACAATTATATGCACCTAATACCAGCACCAAAACACATGAAGCAAAATTAATAGAAATGAAGAGAGAAATCAATAACACTAATAGTTGGAGATTTAAAATACCCGATTTCCAATAATTCTATCCAGTAATGGCTAGAAAATTAGACAGAAGGTTAATATTGAAATAGAAATCTTGACACTGCAAACCAACTACACCTAACAGATATCTATAGAACATTTCATCCAACAACCACAGTCTGTCTTATTGATAAGTTTCACCAGAAACTTTATTCAACATAGACCATATGCTAACCCATAAAACTTCAATAAATTTAAATAGAAACAAATACCAAGCATATTCAGTGTTCACAATCATGAAATTAGAAATCAAAATGGCAGAATTTAAGAAGCTTATAAATTTGAGAGAATTAAATAACAACCAATGAGTAAAGAAGAAAACCCAAAGAAAATTATAATATACTTTGAGACAAATGAAAACAAAGACACAACATATTAAAACTTAAGGGATGTGCTTGGGAAATTTATAGATGAAATTGCCTACATTATAAAGAAAACAAGGCTTAAAATCAAAAGCCTTACCTTCCATTTAAGTCACTAGGAAAAGTACAGCAAACTAAACCAGAAAGAAATAATAAGGAGTGGAATGGAAATTAAGGAAATAAAGATAGAAAAACAATAAAAATCAAAGTTACAAAAACTGCTTCTTTGAAAAGATCAACAAAATTGACAAATCTTTAGCTAGTTTGACCAAGAAAAAGAGAACTCAAATTGCTAGGATCAGTTGTGGAAGAGATTACTGCCAGTCTTAAGGAATAAAAGCAATTATAAAAGAATACTTCAGTTTTATGACAAAAAAAAAGATAACTTATGGACAAATTCTTAAAATGACATGAACAACTGAAACTGACTCAAGCTGAAATAGGCAATCTGAATAGACCTATAACAAGGAAAAGGTTAAATCAGGTTTTGAAAAACTGTCCACAGGTGGCTTCACTGCTGAATTCTACAGAGCAATCAAAGACTTAACTTGGATTATTCAAAAAGAAATAGAAGGGGAGGGGGTATTCCCACCTTATTTTATGAAGCCAGTATTAGGATGCTAAAACCATTCAAAGTTGTCACAAAGAAATAAAACTACAAACCAATATAGCTTATGAATATGGATGGTAAAATCCTCAATAAAATACTAATGAACCAAATCTAGCAACTTAGAAAAAGAATTGTACACCACCATCAAGTGATATTTATCCCAGGGATATAAGGTTGATTTAATATCTGAAAATCAACTAATATAATACATCATAGCAATAGAGAAAAAAAGTCACACAATTATCTCTATAGATACAGAAAAAGCATTTGAGTAAATCTGACATTTTATTACAAAAATGGTCAAAAAACTAGAAATGGATGATAACTTACTTAATAAAGGGTGTCTATGAAAAACTGACAGCTAACTTAATTCTTAATGGAAAAATACTGAATACTTCTCTCCTATGATCATGATTAAGACAAAGGTGGCCACTCTTATCATTTCTCTTCAACATTGACCCATTGCAATTAGACAAGAAAAAGAAAGAAGAGGAATCCAGGTTAGAAAGGAAAAAGTAAAACCATCTCTATTCACAGATGACATGATCATGTATACAGAAAATCTTAAGGAATACATTAAAAAGCTATTA